GGATAGCCCTTCGCAAGGCAAGTCGGCGGAAGCTGGCTTGGACCAAAAGGACGCCCCGTGTTGAAGACCAACGAACGGCAAGACGGCTGTTCCTTGGTGGCAGAGTTATGCTCTGGCGTCGTTGTCGTGGTCGTCGCAAGAGGAGAAGGCTGGCGCAATTTTGAGCATCAAGATTGGCCAAAGATCCGCTCGTAAACACAGTCATCCTGAACCAAGCGGTGCGTTTGTACCACTGTGGGTGTGCCGTGCTCAGTCGGGCGACGAGCGGGCCTTGACTGACTGACTGGCATGGACATGCAAACGGTGAGCTGCAGCGCAACGGCGGAATGAGAGGAGGGTTTGGCGGCGAAATCCCCGACGCTCTTCGTTCCCATGATTGGCTGCTAGGACTAAGTGCCGACGTGCACAGCCCAGTCAAGAGATGGCCGGCCTGGCAGGCTGACTGCGCATCTGAACCCCGAGACTGGAGGTGCTAAATGCGACCACGGAATTGAGATCTTTCGCGTAGGCGGGCTTGCTTGGCAGACTGAGCGGCTGCGGGAAGATCGATGTGGTTAGATCGAGATGCGAAAAGCATCAGCAATAGCAGCGCCGCAACCTGGAGATCGTCGACTTAACCAAACCAGGCCGGAGGCTTTAGACCGTGGAAATCGCGTTTTGCCATTTTGAAGCTTCTGTAGTAGAGAACGAGGCACTGCCATTGCGAGCTTGTCAGTACGTAAGCCGGGTTGTCCTTCAGTGGCTATCCACCCATTGTTTGAGGAGCTATCCCGTTGTCAGAGATTGTTGCAGTGCCTATCGATATCTGATTGTGAATACGCTGTGGAGAGGCTGTAACAAAGAAGTGTACATAAATAAGCTTGCTAGGCGAGACGGCGCCAATGTTCGGCATTGGCACCGTAGCTCTCTGCCTGCTTGGCTAAAGTGGGAGGGACTTTGGAAATAGCGGCATCAAGGGCCCTCAGTGCACCTGTTCCGTAGACATTTGATCAGAAATCTGCGGGGATCGAGTGAGTGGGTTCAGACTATCGGCAAGCACCTATAGCAATTCTGAACAAGAGACAGGGCAGGATAGCGACCCAAAACGACATTTGTGATCAATGATGGTGACCAAAACAGGCGACGATGGCGGTTGGGATTGCTTCTTGCCAATGCCGAACAAAAATAAAAACCACACGGAGCCGATTGCCTTGGGTTGTCAGACGTACAGTGTGGCGGGACTTTGAGTGTATCCGTTCGCAGCGTAGACACGTAGTGTAGGTACGTATGGTGGTGAGTGTACCCGTATGAGATTATGATGATAAGATGGGTATGGCGAGGAGTGGCCTGGTGTCTGATGGCAGTGATTGGCGGTGGGGTAACTGGAGGGAGGGGTACGAATGGTCCGAGATCCATGCCTATGTGGAGGCGGTTCGATTCGAGAAGGTCATTGATAGATGCGGTGAGGTCGACGTTCATGGCGTGGGTAGCAGTGCCGCAGACAACAGGTGATGGCTGGGAATAATGCCAATGTCTGCGTCAATGAGACCGACTACTGTTGAGGGTGTTTGCTTCGTTGTGCCTGGAGTGAAGAGTGGCAAGGCAGCTCCAAGATGGCATCGTGATGGTGCAACGAGCCAAAGTAGCGGCGGTTGAACGACGGTCTGGGGAGTCTGTCGGCCTGTCTGTGGCGGGGAGGCAAGGTTGTACAGGCGTTGTCCCAGGATGAGGCGGGATTGGGCTGGATGGGAGGGGGCACTGGAGTTGACAACGGAGGTGCAGCAAGGCGTAGGGTTGGAACTTGGAACCTTGGGATTTGCCTCGATAGGAGATGGCAGAGGTGCGGTGCGGTGCGGGTGGTGTGGACTGCGGTCAAACGGTGTAAGGTATCCGTAGAGAGGTGAGGTTGTGGAGAGGTGCCACTCGGGGTCTTGGACCATCGTTTGGCCGAATGAGACGAGAAGATGGGAGGACAGGAAACGCAGCGCAATGACACTGACATGCCGCACGACGACGACAACATCGACATGGTCGGAACGGTACACAGGAAGGTAAGGTAGTGTAGTGTAGTGTAGGTAGGTGGATTGTAACCTGAATGCAACAGCAACCCAATGGAAGGCAAAGGCGAGAAGAAGTGATGAATGATGCAACTATTCTGTGAGGTAAGGCGAGGTAAGGCAGGTAGGTACCTCACCCAAAATGCTCATGTTCCAAAGTATCCTTCATGCCTGCCTAGGTCCCTTACCTTACCTTCCCTTAGCTAATGGTGCTCTCTTTTCTATTCTAGTCAACCAAGGAACTACGGAAGGTGATGTTCCCTCTGCACACCTTCCTCGTACGTCGTTGTTACTATCCTGTCTCAGAGGCAGGCAGGCGTAGTACCATGTGTTGGTGCTGGTTACCTACTTTACCTTACCTTACTACCTTGGTCTCTTAGTAACCTTACAGGAAGCTGCTGACTGAGATGGACGAGAAAGAGTGGTGAGTGCATACTTGTCTTTCTAAATTTGTCGGATGCCATCTGTACGTGTGTGTGCTGCAGAGACCAAGGTACCTTTTTGCCTGGGTAGGTAGGTATCTCTGTGCCGCCTGAGGTGGTCTCTATGTACGACGGGAGTCTGCACTCTGCAGTTCGTCTCCCATTGGGTTACGTTAGGTTCAACCTGAGGTCCGAGGCAAGATACGTATCGGAGCGATCCATTCTCCTTGGTCCATTAGGTAGGTTCCCCAGTGCCAATCCCACCCTCGCTCCTGCCTTCCCGTGTGTGGGAGGTAGGCGCAGGGCCAGCAGGGCCAGCAGGGCTCAATTCTACACCCTCAATTCTTCCTCTCACACCCCTTGCTCTGTTGAACGGTTGGGTGTGTGTATAGTACTCATCCGCTCAGCGCACGCCCTTAGGTCTGTATGTATGCCTGGGCAGAGAACATGATCTTGAAAGTGCTCACCCCTTTCACCCTTTCACCCCCCCCCGTCCCAAGTTCCTTCCCCACGCCTTGATGGCCTTCCAGTCTTCCACCCAATCTTCTGCTTCTTCTTCTTCTTCTTCTTCCTCCTCCTTGCCTTACCGAGCAGCACTTGTCTCCAGACTCTGACTTTTTTCCATCCCAATACCACACACTGACGCTCTATCCGAACGGCTGCAGAGAAGGCCTCTGCGGGTAGGAGTACCTCCTATTCGTCCGTCACAAGTTGACAAGATATTGACAGCAATAGATGAAGGACGAGAAGAAGAAGAGGTAGACGTAAGTAAAAGTAGAAGTGTAACTGTCATGGTGTTTGGAGTACCTAGCGTAAGTGTGTCACTGGGCCAAAGGGAGGGATAAGGTAGATAGGTATGATGAAGGGTCACGAGGGGATGACATGATACTATGAGGAGATGAGACTCCAGATACCTCGCCGAAATAGTATCTAAACGCGTAATGCGCTTCCTGGCTGCAAAGAAAAAACGAGTAAACACAATGGAACGCCAGGATTGTATCTCGAGGGACTTGGCTTGGGCGGTGGACTCTGCGGTGATAGTTGGGATATTTGTTTGGAAGGAAGCACGAGAAGGTCGAGAGAGCCGTGGTCCTTGCCCTGCTCTCGAAGACCCTTGCGCCTGTCTTGTCTGCTCTCTCTCCTCTCCCACGGGCCACGATGCGGTGCTACCCCGTCGTCGTGGACCCGCGCTAATCCTGATCGGATACCCCTGATCTTTGCAGCCACGACACTGGACCGCGGGAGGGACGCACCGGGAGCGCGCAGCAAATGGAATGATTCAACGGAACCCGCTTTCTGCCCTGTTCTGCCCTGTGTCGCCTTGGACTTGCATCTCTGGAGAACACTGCACACGCATCCCTCTTTTCAACGGAGAGATGGACGGAATCACAACGTGAGCCTGTGAGGGGCCACAGGCAGGAAGCGCAATGCGGCACGTTTCTTACCTTTTGGTTGATATCAGTCCCCTCGTCCATCTTTCCTTGGGTGAGATGGGCAAGATGAAGTACGGAGTACGGAGTACCTACGTAGTATGGTTCTTGAGGACTCCACCCGGCTTATCTAAGCACTTGTTCAAGAGCTCAAGAGACCGTTCAAGATGCTTGTGGCACTTGAGATATGCACTTTGTCTGTTTCTTTTACGCCTGCAACTTCTATGCCTGCAATGAGGTAAGGACGGCAAGGTCATCCGTTTCCTCTTTTGCATCAGCATCAGCATCAGCATGAGCTCAGCATCAGACCCCATCCAAGCCCGACCTGAGGTACTTTTCATTGCTTACCCAGGCAGGCAACTCGGGCAACTCAAATGTGCCTTAGTGTTAGGTAGTAGCTTTCCTTAAGTCAAGCCCAAAGGCTGCAAGATGCAAAAGCGAGATGCAAATCCACCAAAGTCCCGTTTCGCATCATTTCCCCTCTTGCTTTTCCTGACTCCTCGGTTCCGCCTTGCCCTTGGCGCCAACCTGAATGTTCGTGCCTGCTGTATCTGTACGGAGCACTTGCCTCCTCACCTACGTGTCTACCTACGGAAGGGAAGTTACGCCAAAGGCATCCAAAGTACCTATCATAGGTACTAGGTATGGACCTGTGCTTCGTCGCTTCGTGTGGGACCTCCTTCATTGTCGATGCGCATCGTCCCTGCCTTGCGGATATTTCTCACGCCTACCCACTTGGTGATGCATGTGGCTTCGTCAACGGGAAGTTGCGTTGATTTGGGAAGGAGAAAGGGAAGGTGGACATGTAATGATGAGGAGGGCAAGAGGCAGCAGCACTTCTGCCTGTCCTCTTTCCTTGAGATGATGCGTGTAATTCTTCGTGTCTATTCGCATGGAAGGTACCTACCAAATCGTGACTATCTTACCTTACCTTAGGTAGGTAAGGTACTTTACCTTATGACTTGGCCCAACAGGAACATGCAGGTAGCAAACAAATGCTCCAACAGCTGAACAGCTCACCTCACGCTGCTTGGTCATCGTCCTCGGCTTCGGGATGATTTCCCAACTTCCATCTCATCAGTCCAACCACGAAACCTCAAATGCGCTGCGTTCCCGCCTTGGGCTTTCTTCACACGCCATTCCATCTCGCGCACGGAGCGAGCGTCGAAGCAACCTTCATCACACCTTACTTTACCCCAAGGTACCTACAACTTGTACCTTTTTTTTTTTTTTTTTTTTTTTAGGTTCTGTGCTGATTCTTACTCAGGTGCCTCTACGTCTCTGCTGAATTGAGCGAGGTTCCGTCGCGACACCTGCCAGACCGCCCGGACACAATCCTATTCTCGACTTCTTTTGTTCTTCATTCCATTGTTGCGCTTCCCCGGCCCTCGTCCGGACGGACCCAGACCTGCGGATTCCCTTGGCTCATAAGGCATATTACTATTGATTAGCTACGAAGACCGTATACGTACGTCAGGAGACTAGCACCGGGCAAAGGAAACGACTCGGACGCCGCACACCGCACACTGCACACCGCACGCCATCACCGCCGTCTTATTACCCACACCTCTCCGAATATCATCAAGGAAGACAAATTACTACATTCCTCACCCCGCCGTTCTTGACGCACTCCGATCTCCTCCAACGACTCGACCCGACTCGGATGCTTCCTTGAGCCTTCTAGATCCATCGCCTCACCTTGCCCATTCAAGGTAAGCCCACGCACGCGGCTAGTAATAGCATAACATACACACCACACGCACACACACATAAACGCACATATACACTTTGAGCTATCTATGCTTATATCGCCTGGGTGGCCTTGGTCGCATCAACATCAACGCACCTCATTCCGTCACCCCCATGACTCTCCGTCCCCAGCCCTCCTTCTCTCTTCCTTTTCCCCTCGAACGCTCGATCCGAGCAACAACCCCCTTCCCTACAACAACCATTACCACTACGGATACCTAGTCTACACCACCTTGCCTACCTTACCTTAGGTGCTACCCACACCCCGACGCAGCAAGAAGGAAGGGCGACAAGAAGTTGACAGACAGGGCTGCATTGCTGCTTATGTGCTTGCATGGCACTAACACAACGGGCTACAAGAAACAGCCACACGCCCACCGTCGTGCTCGTGGTTCCTTGGTGTGGTGTATGACTAGCCAGTCCCCGTCCGCATCCTATTCCTTTTAGGGCTGCTCGCCGAACAAGCGTCCCGCTACTCTACCCGTCCACCAGAGCGATTCACCCCCCTCGTCTTCCTTATCACCACTCCCCTTCTACGGAGTACATACACTCCCTCCTTCAAAGTCCACCCATCAAATCATTCCCTTCACCCCTCCCTTCTCGTCCTTCCATTCGGCCTTCCTCTTCTCCACCTCTTCTTCTTCTGCCCTGCCCTGTAAGGCCCTGGGCTACGGATACCTCAGGACCTAGTGTATTCGTTCACAGTAGGCGTGCTAAGCTAGGGTATCAGGTATTCCCTCTCTCAGTCAGGTCTCTCGCTTTCTCTGCCTGGGCTGTCCTCTGTCTCTCAGTATACCCTGCTGCTGCCCCTGCTGGGGGTAAAAAGGAACCACCCGGGGGCTTCTTCTCCAATCCACGTTACGCCGAAGTTGGAGGTTTGGATGTGCCTCCATCTGGGTCCCTGGGCCGCTACCACTACGAATACCGCTACCTACGGATACCGCTACTGCTGCCGCTGGAGCTTCGCTTGACGCTGCCGACAGCTTCCCTGGGCTCCCCCCTCCACCCCCTTCTCCTCTCCTCTCCTTGACCAGGTCCGTCTCCTCCACTCGACTCGTTCTCCCGCCTTTTTTTCATAAGTACTAGTCGCCTCTTTCGCCTTGCCATACCTGGGGGTGTCGATTTTATTTTATTTTTATTTATACAGCAGCTGGCGTCGTCACACAATCGCCTCTTATTTCAGCTGTCGTCTCCCCCCCCCCACGACCTGACCTGACTTACGGATCTAAACTCTACCCACCCCAGCTCCGGCCACTCTGCTTCCTCCGACAACAGTTGCTCCTCGCATTCCTCGACGCCGTCCGGACCTGATCTGTTTCTGCTTGTCCCGCGATTAGACCGCCGGACTCAACAATTGTACATCCAGTCCAACCACATCGACGTCTGCTACTTTTCCCTCTTCTACGTTACGACTCGCGCCGCTTTGCTCGATTCCGTCTAGTCTTGTCTTTCCTTTTTCAGTCTCCTCTCGGCCCCGACCGCTGCGTGACGCAAGAGAGAGAGACTGACAGAGACAGCCATTCTCGGCTTGCATTGGCCCCCGTTCTCAACCAACGGCGAACCCGACTGCCATCGCCACCCACGGCCTCCAAGACGACCGCCTTGGCCTCGGACGCTTCTCGTATCCCACCGCGATCAGAACCCTAGATATTTCCCGGCCCATCACTCATGACGCCCGTGCTTCCGTCACTATAAACCTTAGTGGCGCCGCTTCAGCTGGAATTGTCAACACTCAGCCGGCAACTGCACAGATACAAGCCGACATCATGGAGGCACCTTCGAGATACAGGGAGCCTGCGGGTCTTCCCAGCATCTTTATAGACTCGAACCCAAGAGACTCAAATCGATTCGACTCTAGCAGTTACTCCTCCTCTGTCGCTATCCCAGGTTCCGGAGACAGAATCAACGCACCGCCGCCCTTACCACCACCACGACTCCCCTTTGACGACCCTCACATGCATCACCAGGAGCCCAGACAACACTACCGCGATCCTTCATCATACAGCCCCAGAGAACATAGTTACCACGACAGCTTGGGAAGCTTGGATGACAGGCCACACTACATGAGATCCGGTTACAGGCACGATGAGGGTTATGCCAGCATGGGTTCATCTTCAGCTTCGGCTTCCACGAGGTAGGAAACCCCCAACCCTTCAATGGTGTCTAGGTTGGTTCTAGAAGAAGAGAACTTGAGAGTGTCGAGACTTTGGGTGCCCATCTAACATTTCCACCTCGATAGATCTGAATGCTCCCTGCCTAGCATCTCGGCTGGGTTTGGTCTGCACCACAACCAGTTTCAGTTCCAGTCCGGCGCCGACGCTTTCACCGACATGAAGAAGAAGCTCGCTCCCCTGAAGACGTTCGATAACAAGCCGCCTGGCTCACTCCTCAGTGCGTCAAGCACATCATCAACTAGCGACCCTTTCTCGAGGAGGCTTTCTGGCGACACGCGGGTACCGCCACTCTCCGTGCCCACCAGTCTTCCGTTGCACCTCAAGACGTCAAACCTACTAGACTCTCCCGACAGATACACGCAGACTCCTCACTCTGCCCTCTCACCTTCCCCTAGAAGCCAGCCATTCCATCTCGGCCAGGATTATAGGTCCCCTCGGTCCGTCTCCGACCTCGACAGGTCACCACCTACTCGCACCAGAAGGAACAACAGCGATGATGCATCATCGCACAGCTACGAAGTGGAGGAGATGGAAATGGAGGAGACCAATTCTATGAAGAGATTGCGGATAGAGGATCCCATGAGAGCGCACTACGATGGCGCTGGGGCGAAGCGCCGTGCATCTGCTGATCCCGACGACAGCGTACCACTTGGTTTCACCACCCAGGGTGACTTGCTACGCCGCCGCGATGGAAACCAAAGAGGATCCCCCACGCCTCGACTGAGTGTCATCCCCCAAGGATCAATCTCTTCGCCATCCGGTCGCGCAGGGTCTTACAGCTCTAACCTATCACTACTCACCGGAAGCATTACCAGCATGGGCTCGTCGTCGTTTGGCCGAGTCTCTCCAGGGGGGCTTTCCCCAGGTGGAATTTCGCCCGGCGGAACCGACCCCAGCTGCAGCTCTCCCTACAGTGCATCAATGTCGCTCAACCCCTCGCCTCGCGGTTCCCTCTCCAGGGCACCCCACCAGCGGACCATTAGCGAAAGCCGGCCTCTCGCTTCTCCCCGCAAGCTTACGGAAGTGAGCAAGCCTGGTGGAACCAAGATTTCGGGATTCTTTATGTGCGATTGTTGCCCGAAGAAACCCAAGAAATTTGAGTCGGCCGAGGAGTTGGCGTAAGTACTGACCCTGCAAATATCATGAAGCTTTTCGCTAATCGTCAACAGGTCTCATGAAGCCGAGAAGCAGTATGAATGTTCTTTCTGCGGAAATCGATTCAAGAACAAGAATGAGGCCGAGCGCCACCAGAATAGTCTTCACGTTCGCAGACACAGCTGGAGTTGCTCGGCCTTGAATGGCTATGATCGTGCGTTCCACGACAGTACCAATCGCCCCGGTGAAGCAGACTCTTGTGGATACTGTGGTGAGGAGTTCCCTAGAAACGGGAGAGGCCCCGGTGCTTCCGCACCGCGCCATGCTACCGACCAGGACTGGGAAGAGCGCATTCGCCACCTCCAAGAAGTGCACAAGTTTAGGGAGTGCAACAGCAGCAAAAAGTTTTTCCGCGCAGATCACTTTCGGCAGCATCTGAAGCACAGCCACGCAGGCACAAGCGGCAAATGGACCAACATGTTGGAAAATGCTTGCATGCTGGATGAAGATCCCACTCCGAGATGAGCATAAGCCAAGTTCTCAAGCTTGACTTACCGACGGCTCGTTGCGGACCATGGCATGGGTTGACCGGCCACTCATCGAAAGCAAATCTGCGGAACGCGTAGCGCGACATTACTTGGGTGCGCCCAACTAATACACCGAATGCGAGCGAACGATTTCAGACTGGACAAGCAGTCAAGATGAAGACGGCCGTTGACGCGTAGGGCCGAGTGGAATATGTCGAGAGAGATCCCACGCCACGGTCTGGTTAGCAATTCCCTTGCCAGTACCATGCGCAGTACAAAAAAGAAAAATCAAAAGCATTTTGTTGAAGCATGTGGGCAGCATTCACGGGGTTGATGGGCTGGCCATTTGGAAGCACCCATATTTTGGGGCCTTTGGAGTATAGGTGGTTGCCATGAGGGGCTTTCAGGCACCAGAAACATATCTGCAAACTGTCTGTTGCGCGCATTCCATTTGGAGGAAATACCAGGCATTATCGGGCCAGTCAGTGGTGGAGAGGTGGTGATACGATGAAATGATATTGGTATTAGAAGAGATGCAGCACGTCCTTCAGCCAGACTGGGGAGTTCAAGCTAGCAATGTATTTTGTAGGGTCAGGGCACACAGGTTGGACAAGAGTGAGAAAAGAATAAAAAGTTACCAAATGTCGAATACATGACTGTTCCATCCACAACATGTCCCTGGCTTGGATTTGCCTCCTCGTAAATATGTGATGTGGTCGAGTACTCAGTTTCCGAATCGGCATGATGGGATCAAGGGGAAGGCAGTCTGGCAGTCAATGGAGACTCGATCAGGTCCACAGCTGACCCCATCCTACGAGTAGCTACAGTACAGAGTACCCCATGTTGGTGTCTGTTGATCAAGGAATAAACACATGCCCTGGTAGGTACTTTGCTCTGTGTAAACGCCAAGTCGCCATAAGGCTTCATCAACGGCAATTCGGCATGCCGCTATGAGGCCGCCGGTTGACAGTAGGTCACATGATCTCAGCCCTACGAGCCACAGAATAATGTGGCGGTGGCGCATGGCTCTTTTCTGTCTTTACCCAATGTGCCAATGTACAGGTACCTTAGTAAGGTAACAATAGGTACGGTACCTTAGTACCTAGGTAGGCATGGGGAAGTGCCCTGAGGGGGGAAGGGGCAAATGACCTGGCCCTGAGGCGGGGGAAGGGGCCGGACATTTCTTTCCACCACACGGCCGAGTGGCAGGAGCCAAGAGCACGAGGGAACGAGGGTACGTACAACGCAACGACTGAGGCGACGAAAACAAAGGTGGAGGCTTGGCTCTTTTCGGCAACGGCAGTATTCTGGGAAACAAAGCTAGAGCAACTTCAGGCCGAGCCACAAGCACAGCTGCGTCATTCCCGTCACCACCACTTAACCACTACCACCAGCGTTCGTCGCATCCTGAGATTGGCACGCGAGAGGGGTCTGTCTTTCTGGTAGCTCTTGGGCTTGGGACACCGACATTGACTCTCTCGTTTCCCCCTTCTCCCTTTTCTCTCTTGGTTACACACCAACATCCGTAGACAGCAGGGAAAACTTACACCGTCAAACACTACCATACTACGCTCATGTATCTTGTGCCAAGCTGCCATTGGGACCCTTCATCGATAAAGCTGTTCGCATGGTCCGCGGCCACATTTCAACCGAGGACGTGACGAAGCGATTGAAAGAGATCGAGTCAAGCTTGAAGAGCACGACCACGACGGCATTGCAGGACGCGGCGCAGGTGCTACCTCCCAAGGAGAAAGAAGCGCCGACCAATACGTTAGAGATCTACACAGGCGAGCCTGAAGGGAGCGAGGAAACTGAAGCTTTACATCGACTTTTGAAGAAGAGCTGCGTCGAAATGGCGATGAACCGTATCGATGGCAAGGAGGAGCTCTATGTCGGCGGGTGAGACACATTATCTCCGTCGTCATCTTCACTGTGAGGCTTACTAACATTATTTACCAGCATATGGGCTTTGCGCCGCCCTTCAGCACTGAAGGAGCGCAACATCACCCACATCCTCTCTGTGCTGCGATTCGACCCGGCCGGTCTCAAGAGCGAGACCGACACCTGGGAGAATTACGGAAAGAGCTACAAGCACATGGTCATCGACATCGACGACGTCGAGGATGAGGACCTGCTCGTTCACCTGCCCAAGGCCGTCCGTTTTATCGAGGATGCGCTGTACCCCGGCAGCGGCAAGAAGAGCGTCACGGACGGGCCTGAAGAGGGGGCTCAGAAGGACAAGAGCTTTGAGGAGAAGGTTAAGCGCTTGAAGGCGGCTGTGGCTAAGGATTTGGAGACCGAGTCTGAGTCTGAGACGGAGGCTGCCTCGGCTAAAGCGACGGCGGCAGAGGCGAAGCCCACAGATCCGGATGCCATCCTCCCTGCCCCCCTATTCGAGCAGCTGGATCTCAGCTCTGACGGGGAGAAGCCGGATCCCAATGCCCCAGGCGGCGTCTACGTCCACTGCGCCATGGGCAAGTCCCGTTCCGTCTCTGCCATCGTTGCCTACCTCCTCTGGAAACATCCCTCCCGGTTCGGCAGGTCCGCGGCCTCGACGGCCGCCGCGCAGAACGGAGCATCAGGAGGGGCGCCCAAGTCCGCTGAGGAAGCCACGGCAGCGCAAGAGAGGGCTGCTGCCGCCGTCGCTGCCGCCGTGAAGTGGGTTCGCAACACGCGGGAGATTGCGGAGCCGAACCCGGGCTTCATGAAGCAACTCGAAATGTGGTGGATCATGGGGTGCCCTGACGACGTGGCGTCGCACCCCATTTACAAGCGGTGGGAGTTCCAGAGGGAGATTGACGAGAGCCTTGCCGCGGGCCAGGCACCGACGAAGCTGCGGTTCGAGGACGAGGAGACGAGCAAGGAAGAGGCGGAGAGCGTCAAGGGCATGGAGGTGCGGTGCAAAAAGTGTCGCAAGACGCTGGCTACGCCGCGCTTCGTGCTCGATCACGAGCCCGATGCCCCCAGGGGCCAGCGGCAGCAACAGCAGCCGTGCGGACACGTCTTTGTGGAGCCGCTGGGGTGGATGAGGGAGGAGCTGGAGAAGGGGACGTTGGAGGGACGGCTGTCGTGTCCGAATCAGAAGTGCGGTGCCGCCGTGGGGAGGTACAGCTGGCGGGGATTCCGGTGCAGTTGCGGCGGGTGGGTTACACCCGGGTTCAGTCTGCAAAAGGGGCGTGTGGACGAGGTTGCTGCGAGGGTTCCTGGGGCTGGGGGCGCAGCGGCGATGGGGATTCGGATGCCGCCTGGTTCGGGGAGGTTGTAGAAAGATAGACTTGAATTTGCTCAGAGCTTGTGGTTAGAGCTAGAGCTAGATGTAGATGGTGAGGATACATGGAGAAGGAATGTGCGTTTGGCAAGGCGTTGGAAGAGGGGGGGGCTTTGGCCTGGACTTGGGTGGGAGAGGGAAGGATTGCATGACATACACGGTTGCATCAGCCTGGGACAGGAGAGACGGGATGGTATTCCTAGATGGTATGGAGACTCGTTCTAGACGATCGTCGCTGACTGCAGACTCTTGAATTACACGTACATTTGGCCCCGTCAATGGATTGCTACATGTGAATGGCTGGATACCTTGCCTATCTTCATGGTCGCCTTGGAATCAAGATATTGCCGTACGGATACTTACCCACGCTCAGTGTGCCAACGAGAGTGATGATGAAGGTGAACTCGCTTTGACGCTGGCAGTGGAGAAGGTTACTAGTCTCAGTAACACCAAGCACTCCCTTCAGCGTACGACTGGCAATGATTGCTACTCCGTGAGTACGCATGTATGCTCGCGTGCTTGCTCCCCTTAAGGCGGCTACTCCGAGCCATTGCGGCGAGTGAGGGAAACTTTGACTATACCTTACTCCGAGCTTCGTACATCTCGTTGCGTGAGTGGATCGGACCACAGATGCAGGTTTACTTTCGAAGCACTATAAAGACGCCCCTGGTTCTTCTCCAAGATCATCTTTCTTTGGGGCGTTGGATTACCTCGGCCCGTTTATGATGCATGTATAGTTTGAGCGGACTGGGATGCTTCATGCTTGCAGAGGGGGGTATAGAACGAGATGGAGATTTTCTAGGAGGTAAAATTGCTGCCTGGATGCACGAGGTGGAAGAGCCGAGGGAGGAGAGGTGAGGTGAGGCGTGACAGGTGATCCATATCCGTACAGTTGAGGCAGACTAAATCCATCGATTGCTAGTGTTCTGAACGGAAGTTGGTCTCTCCTGTCGGGGCGGGGGTGGAACCAGACGCACTTTGGATTCTAGAAGAAGTTGAAAGTGCTGCCTGCCGTGGGCTAGATGCGCGAGATCTAGGCGCGGGGCAGCGTGAGTAACTCTTCGTAATGTTCCGCGGGAAGAAGGCTAGGCAGACGAATTCTGGATGCTCGAGGGGGCAACGAGATGATGCTAATTGTCTGCTCGGGGGTGTGGTATTGATGCCGGAGGTTTGCCAAGTTGGTGTTGCCTTCGTCTGGTTCTCGGCAGTCGTACGTTTCTCGTGGGGTTGATGGGAGGGGGTAGAAGTTGAATCAGGATCCCAGCCCCTATTTCAGATCGCAGAAGGATTGTCGTAAGACTGGGGAAGAGTGAAGAGCATTGCCATCTCCCGCAAAACGGCGGACGTTAGGCTGATGAATTGCGCGCTTTATCTGGCTGAAGCAGTCTGAAAGCGCATCAAATCATGGTTTCTTCCATTCTCCCCTCTGTGAATGTCGGGAAGGAAAGGGCACTTTGTTCTACATGCTGGGAGTTGGGAGGCTGTACTGGGTCTCAGGGGTGGGCCCTACTATTTGGAGTCTGGAGACTTTGCGAAGACATGGATTCTAAGATGATGATTGTTATGTTCACTGATGCGGTGCCGTTGCATTTTCACTTTGTCATGGGAATTCGTTCAACATTCAGGGAAGAAGTGGCCACGGTTAGATCGAGGGAAGCTCTCCTAGACGTGATACGCATGGAAAGCAGAAGGGTCGAGAAGAGGGACGAAGATCAGGACGACATCACGATGACACCCCTGAATGGCACTCTTACGGGGGCGATTATCCATGTACGTGATAGAAATGTAGTAAGGCCCTGTAGCTCGGATCTGTCTTGCGCAGCCTTGTGCACACTTTTTGGTCTCTTGACAGTCTCATTCCAATTCTCGTTTACTAAAATCCAGCTTTTTTACTGTATGACTTGGATAACCCAGAAGACTGTAGGAGGCGAGGTACAGGACTGAATGTCGCGAATCGTTATAAATTTGACCGTAAAGCAAAATGATAACACACATTTGACATGTATCCATGCTCAAGCAAGCATTCATCTCGTATCGTTCTCGATATTCAACCTTGGTCGCGTAAAAGAGTCACTGGGTTGGACAGCAAGTCGCAGTATCCTCCCTTTGCGACCGCCTGCGGGTCTTTGGATGTGGACTGTTAGGTGTGAGTGTACGCCAGGCTCTACTCACAAAGCGAGCGAAACAAGGTCTTGAGACTCTGACCAGCTTAAAGCCAGACCAGGCTACATATCCGCAGATACCCAACTACCTCCCGTCCTTAAGGCTTCCCCTTCCTGATCTTCGCCCGTCCGCTGAGATTGGGGGCAAAATGGTACATCAACCCACAGTGAGCCCCCTGGGACTCGCTAAGCTCGACATCGATTGAGATCCCTCCTTGCTACATCCAACGGGCATATACTTGCTAGTGTTGGTCGATGAGGCGCAGCATCGGCCAGCATATCGATACTCCTCCGCCGGATACCCAGCGGAATCTCCGCCGCACAGAGGGCACATAAGCTCGCTACCTAATGTACTGTCCGCACCATGCTCGACCGACGACGGGCCTGCAGTGGTGCAATCCTACGCTTGTACGGTAGAGGGAGTGGAAAAGAAAACGCATGTCGTAAGACGAGCCTAGCCTGCCACGATGCCGTTGGGAGCGAAAGGAGCAAGGGGAGAGAAGGAGGGGGTATGATTTCTCTGAATGCTAGTGCTCTCTGGCGTACGGGGTTCTTCTTACCTGCCGCTCTAAGCGTCTGTGTATGCAAGGTCTCTTCTCTCCATGTCCTTGTTGTATTCCTTCGGCTAAGGGGGGGGGGGGGGTATGCTATGTAGTTCATGGGCCTCTCGTAGGAGTCGAGGCAGACTTTGGGCTGATGGCGGAAGAAATAGCTCTAAGGCTGCAGTGAGGGTTTACGAGCATCGTTTCCCCTTCTCTTAGCTTGGTGTGTTTCTGCCAATCTCACAACGGGTATCCGTGCTCTCGAGTGTCCGTGTGCGTGGGGGCTTCATTGTGGAAGGATTCCTCGGCATGGATGAAGTCCCTCCATGTCGGTACGGTTGCTTTTATCGTGACCCTCAGCCGGGTATACTACACAGAAGAGCTGACAGTATTGCCCATTATAGATACATCTGTCAGAATGCTACCGAAAGAAGATCAGTCCCTTCCTGAAAAGTAAGCGGTTTCGTTCGCGATGTTGACGCGCCAGTTCATTCTCTCCCCCAAACCGTCAACCCCTATTCTGCCATCCTTTTTTTGCAGCTCGAAGGATCACCATCCCGGCACGGACTCGGGCTCCGAAGACCAGAAACGCCGCCTAGAAAATTTCTTGGGAGGAAAGGCCGCCCCGCGCGCGCACGCCCCGCCTTCTATTTCCAAGCTAGAGCGAGTCGGGACGGGAGGGGGGTTATTTGCTATCTTTCTCTGTTCCTCTCCCTGTTTTCCTTTGCTTGCTGGGACTGTGGTCTTGCCCGGCTAACGGCACTTCCGAGGCTGTGCAAGGAAAATAATATTGGAGCCTGTAGGGCTGGAAGGACCCTCTTCCTGTTTGCTGAAGAGAATCGAGGTGGTCGTGGTGTGAGCATAAAGGCCTGATGCCAGCGGGCGTGGGACTTTGAAAGGATTCATCTAGTGAGGAAAACTGATGCCTAAGTGTTTTAAGATCCCTTAAGACGAGAATGCCAAGGTTGTGACCATTGTGGCACTTTATGTGTATATCTAGGCAGTGATTGGACGAATTACGCCTTTGGCTCTTGAGAAAACGATCCATCTTGTAACCTTGTCCAACGAGCGTTTTCTTCAGAAAGGTGCGATATCTTCGACTGCCGGCATTGCTTTGGCGGTTTTCAGCCTTAGACGACACTCATTTGCTTCTTGCGGGGTCTTTATTTCGGCCAAGACTGGGACGTAAGTCTTTGTTAATAAACAATAGACTTTGTAATTGTCTCCGCTCTGATACGCAGCCCCAGGCAGCAGCGTTTCTCAAACAGTGACATAGGGGAACTTGTAAGAGAAACGTACAACGTTGGTGTCATAAATGGCAATACGAGGTTTGTAGAGGTGGCGCTTTTTGACTCTATGCGGAACTTGGATGTTGCGGTTTTCCAGTGTTTATGGTCAGAAGCACGCCGTAGCCGTTTGAACACATTACTTGGAAGAGCACGTGAAATCTGGAGTGTGAAGTAATAGGGCACTGTGCTTGATCTGGACAGATATTACATTTAGTGATTTGTAGATGGTTCATCGTATGGCATCAGGTGTATCACAAGCATACGTTGAAGACATTCTCAATACTTTCGAAGAAGGCGGAAGGGTCCAGCCACGGTTAATATAAACATGTTTCGATGCACAATTTCGCATGACCCGAAATTGGTCAAGTTTGCCATGAAAATTGAAATTCGACTTGTTTTAGACCTGGTTCCTATTCACAACAAGAGGCTTCAATTGAGACACTCTGTCGATACTATTGACAGGGCCTTCCTTACTGTACGTCTGCCTCCGTTCGTTAGCAACCTTTGGGAAACGCACGAAATAGATAAACGCCCAAGTTGCTTTTGATCTCGTACCGAAGATCTCTTAATAGAATCGCCCACGACCTCATTTCTTGACTTCTGATGATTGAACAATAACACAAGTCGTTGTGAGGTTGATAAAGAGTAGTGCGACACCAGTATATGTCTGACTACGCCGCCAACCATGTCGCATTGGCAGCAACTCCTATGCTAGATATCTTGGCATTCCGCATCATTCTCCTGTACTCTTCAATCTTGGAAAGCCCAACCATGACAACTTCCTCCACAGTCTCCGGTCCAAGGCCCTTTTTCCAAACAGAAATCACACCATTCACTTGGTGATCGTCAATTGTGACAGACAAAATCATCTCCGCCTCATCCCTCAGCTCCCACGACGCCCGTCCATACGCCTTCATACCCGTCGCCTTCCAATGCAGATTGCCCAGCTCCCCAGACTCGTACTTTCCGTTGCTCTCTTTGATATTGATCTTAAGCGCACGTTGCAGAAATTGGACCTCGGTCTGGGCGGGCAGGGTGTTGAAATCGATCATGGCCACTTCTTGGCCTCCGTTCGAGGGTGATGTGACATGGCACTTGTCTCCCCAGGCTGCGAGGACCGCTTGCCGTTTTACTTCGTAGCGCGGCGTTGTGTCGCCCTTTACACCGAGGATGCGGCGGTGTTCTTTGAGTGCGGTGTAGTGGACTTCCAGAGCAGGTGTCTCTTCGGTGCGGCGTTTGTCCGGAGTGGCGTCTACGCGGACGATGAACTTCTCAAGCCAGCCGGGAGCCATTGTGATAATTTGAACGGGAGGTAACTTGGATAGTAAGAAGGTTATCTGGATATGCCAAGGCTTTTGTGTATCGGTTATTTCTTTCGTCCTTCGACTTATGCTGTGAGGTGTTGGGTCACAAGGCTCATAGATATCAGCTTCATGGCTGTTGCCTAAATGATCCCATCGTACGATGAATCATAGTAATAATACCCGTTAAGTGGGATATCTCAGCCCAGCTGGGCAAAGCGAGACTGAGCGTTATTGAGGTCCCCATCATTGTCATGGGCATACCATTCCGATGGCGGAGTTGGCGGAGGAGTTTCCCGGGTAGAGATCCACTGTCGGAGCTTCAGGAGCCTTGTCGTCTATCTTGAAGTAGACGAAACGGTGGAAAGTGGGGGTTCTTCGGCTCAGATCCGTGATTTCGGGCTCCAGTATTGTCTTCGGGGTCCATTATTGGTCCTTTCGGGGTCCATTTGTAGGGAAATTGAACAGAGCCTCAGGGTCCAAGATCATCGAATGGTAGCCAAGTACCTGTTCATCGGGACAACGGCATACTTGAACTAGTATTAGTTCTCTTCGTCCCTTATGCCTGACTTTTAATCTTCATGGAATATAAACACCATGGCACGAGAATTGAATGATTTAAGTCCTATCGAGGACTTGAGAGAAGGCAACTTGTCTAAGGTACGTCACAGATACATGCAACTCAGGGGAGTTCCCATACGTGGTTTCGCTACGAATGTTTTCCAGTAGCACTTGGCTTTGATTGATCAAGTAGAAGTTTGGAAAGACGTGCGCAGACATAACGAGAAAAGCCACTCGGAAGTTGGAATTAAAAGTCCATGATGACGGATGATGGATAAACAGCGCTACGATATGCGTCAATTCCTTATGGGTGAAAACTCTGGGGAGTAAAGGTGGGTACTAATTGACAGCATGGTACATCGGAGGGCTATTATCATCACAAGAACATTATAGTAAGTGAAATAGGCATGGGCGCCGGTAACACCTGAGGGGGCCGGCGCCGCTACGACGTCGTCAAAAGCGCCGTTGGAAATCCGGGCCCGGCCGCTGTCACTCCGTCCGGCCGGTCACCAATTCAACGTTACGCCATCCGATCAGCTCTGCAAATGTGAAAGTTGAGACGGAGACTATCTCTCCGGATAGCACGGGCATTGCCAAGATGCCGTCCAAGAACACTTGCAATTTCCGCCTCGTTCGAATCGGTTATTTAGGCTCATTACCGGATGCAACGTGATCTCCACCCCCTCAATTGGTGGAAACTCTGCTCCCCCAGCAGAGACTCATGAATGTTTACTTGAATGTCAAGAGTTCGGTTTCGGACGCAGGATCACGGAGTAGCCCGGGCACAAAGTGTCCAGAAAACTCAACTTTGGCCACATGTTTCCACCTTGAACTTTTACCTCCATGGATTTCACTCAGTGTCGACATGGCGTGATACAGGGCTGCAGAAGCGACATGAGATAAGCATTTCGGATGCCACCCACAAACTGCACATGGCTCAAGTTGCTAAAAAGCTTTGTCGGCCCAAACTTCTATTCAAGGTAGAATTCTGACCGTTTATATTAATCACACCTTTTACCTTTCAGATGACAACATTGCGCGACTTTAAACTCGAATGGCGGGACTCGGGAGTTGCCCCTCTCAGTTTAGCTCGGCGCACCTGTCAACCTCCCGGTTCTCCACTCCCGGGGGAACACCCCGGACTCGGGAATCTCGGTGCAGCATCACTCCGCTCCAAGATGCAAACTTTACTGACGCGCTTGGGACAATGTGAACAGTCTTCGATTCCGTACAGCTACAAAACATCTCATATCTCCACTGGAGCTGCTCCAATGTGACCTTTGTGATCCTCATTGTCTCTCCAGCTTAGGGCATTCCCTTGAGGTTCCTCGGAAGATCAGCATCCAAGCCCCCGGGTCGACATCATCACATAAGTCATCAAGCTCTCAAACTTCTGCTCTCCTCCTCTGAACCATCCACCATGCGTACCCTCACCGCACTCCTCGCCCTCGCAACCTCGACAATGGCAGAGACACTCCTCTACAGCAACCCGCTAAACTCAACCGCCGACGTCGCAACCTGGGTAGCAGAGGGCCCCCTCACCGTAGCAGCCGTCAACGACACCCTCGAGCTCTCGGGCGGCGGTAACCCAGACGACTACTTCGTCTACTGGGTCCCCGAGGTCTTTCCCGACGGCATCCGCATCACCTGGGAATTCTCCCCGCGCAACGAACCCGGCCTGGCCATGTTCTTCTTCGGCGCCGCCACCGTCGCCGACGACGGCAAGGGATCCATCTTCGACCCGTCCCTCAAGCCCAGGAACGGGAGCTACCCGCAGTACCACTCCTCCGACATACGCACGCTGCACGCGTCCTACTTCCGCAGACGCTGGCCCGAGGAGAGAGCGTTCCATCTGGCGAACCTGCGCAAGTCACCTGGTTTCCACCTTGTCTCTCAAGGCGCGGACCCCTTGCCCCCCGTCCCTGATGCCGCTGGTGCGTTTTACAAGATTGAGGTTATCAAGGACAAGCGCGAGGTCAAGTTCCGCATCAACGACTTGCCCATCTTTGAGTTTTACGACGACAAGTCCACGGGACCTATTATTCGGGATGGAAGAATTGGGTTCAGGCAGATGCAACCTCTTGTTGCGAGATATCGTAACCTTCAGGTGTGGAAGCTTTGAAGAAAGGATGATGACGGACATGGATAGATGTATTATGATGCTTTGATATAATAGATAATAAGCCACTATTACTGCGGCCGCACCTCTTCAACCTCCTTTAATCATCGTGCTCCTGAACCCCATTCCGTAGCCTTGATCTCCATCGAATAGGTCGACCCAAATCAGCCGACAACTTGGGCACAACCTCGCTCGTCACAGACCCCTCGTCGCCAATCTTATCCAGCTCCTCGATCAAATCAGCAACATCCGGCGGTGGAGCCGTATCGAACACGGCCTGGATATCGCCGTGCGGCGAGAACCCCGAAAGCTGCCAACCCAAGAATCTCTGGCGGCCACCGCCACCACTCATTTTCTTCCTCATCCGGCGCGAAAACTGTCGCCTCTCGTATAGACTGATCAACAACAACGTCGGCAAATTCAGCGCGCGAATGAGCGCGACGTTGACCCTGTGAAACGTCTCGGCTGACACGGCGAACCGTAACGGCAGCAGCGTCGCAAGCGCAAAGATGTTAAAGGGCGGCGGATATGCGAAGATGGCATCGCTCTTGACGCCTTCGAAGGTCAGCACCGCGCGACGAAAGCGTACCTCAGCCGCCTCGTCGGCAATAATATTGGAAAAAGTGTTTGTGAGCACGGCGACGAGGATCGTCAGGAACAGCGTGTTGCCGAGGAACGCGAAGCCGACCATGAGCGCCGGGCCGAGAATGATGTGGAACTGCGTCGACTCCTGGATGCCGGTGCCGTCGAGACCGAACCAGATCCAGAGCATCCACTTGCAAATGGCGAACCACGAGGGCGTCTCGTTGAAGTTGTCGTTGGAGTCGATGAGCCACTGCAGCGCAAGGAGGAAGCCCATGAAGCACCAGCACGCGAGGAACGACAACAGCAAGAAATCCTTCATCATGGCGTGTAAGGAGATGAGAACGATGTTGTCGGGTGCGATGTTGAAGGCGACGCGGGTGAGCAGAATGGGCGCCGCGAGCGGGAGGATGTGTAAGCCGTGACCGTCGGGGAAGTGGCCTGCTCCTACGTCGTAGATGCGCGCCAGGACGTATACGGCGTAGATTGCGGAAAAGGTAACGTCGAGCCAGGACCAGAGATTTTGCGCGTGGACCTCCCAGCCGTGCTCTGCCACGGCGGCGACTTCGTCGAGGACCCAGCCGGCGGCGTAGATACAGAAGAGAAACTCAAAGACCTCGTTGCTGCTGCGGCGATAGAGCATGGCGAGGAAGTAGAGGATCATCAGGATGAGGAACTGGACGAATTCGATGGAGTTACGGGAGCGCGGGACGATGAGGCGGTAATGGTTTAGGAGGGGCGCTTTTCGCGGGTCATAGAGGGAGATGGGGCGGTACTCGTAGTGGTCGGGCAGGATGTCGACAAAAGAGAGCGGGGTGTAGACGACGCGGCCCTCGTAGACGGCGTTGATGACGCGCTGGCATCCGGGCGAGGAGATGAAGGTCTTGCTCTCGGAGAGGATGGCCAGCTCGAGGGCGGTGAGTTTGCGTTCGAGACCACCACGTTCCTGTGGTGCCCACTGCCGACGGCCTTCAAACTCCACGGCTTCGGGGGCGCCCTCGAACGGATCGAAGCCGCCGACGAGGAGGCGTGAGAGGAAGAGGAGGCCTTGGGAGCCCGGATTGGCTTCGTGGAAGCGGCGGAGGACGCGGGCTGCTACGAGTTCGCAGAGTGTTGCACGGGCTATGTTGACGGGTTGGTGGACTGAAGTTGCCTGCTGGCGAAGGAAGTAGAGGCGGTTGGCAAGGAGGCAGTAGACTTGTTTTGGTGTTAGTCATGAGTGGTATTGAGTAAAAGGGGGCCACGTACCTATGGTGATGTCGTTGGGGTGATATAGACGCTCAACAAGAGGCCGGACGATGAGAATGTTCATCCTAGGGTCACTCAACTGGCTGAGTGTGTATGGATCATCTAGATCTCAGTGTGAGTGTACTTGTTTCCTGACAATAAAAGTTGTTCCTTACCTATACTTGCATTGATGAGCCGACGGACGCTACCCATGGTCAGTATTGTGATATCCGAAATCTATCATGAGATGTTCCGAGCTTAATGAACGTACCGATGCATTGAAACATAGATGGGCAGCTCAGAAACTGAAGACGGAACCCCGGGTTTCTCGTCCTCGTCACCATCACCAAGACAAGCCTCAGTCTCCGAGCCGCCAGCGACACCAGGACCTTCGTCGTCCTCCTCCTCGGCACCACGACACCTCTGACGGCCCGTCCACAATTTGGCCTCTTCCGCCATCTCCTCCGTCGGCGACCGTCTCATCTCCAGCTTCTCACAGGTCGGTGTGGTCCGTCTGCGTCGCAAATACATTCACTTTTGCTATGGGATACATCAAGAGGCAAATGGTAATGGCACACAGATCAAAAGGCCACGGGCAATCAGAGAAACGAGCACCTGTCCTAATTGTCCGCTGACGAATCGTCCCCTTAAAAAGGACAATACGGAACAGCTGGGGTAAAGGGGCCCTGTTTTTAGTCATGGAATCTTGGCGATTCATTACAAGACACCAGCCGCGATGCCCAGGATTTGGGAGGAAACCATTATGTAAGTGCGAGTCGCTGCGCACGCGCGTAGCCGGTGACCCCTGACAAGGCGCCAGACCCCGAGACCGTGTTTGAAGTAGCATTTCTGATTGAAGCAAGTGACGAGGCTTTTGCTCAGAGCAGCATGCCGGAAAGAGGGACAAACAGAGTTCACCACGGTGTAGCTACATCTCCAGATGACCATGCTAGAACTTGAACCAAGGAATTCTTAGCCTTCACCTTTGAGGGTTGTTCGTGGACTTGAGCACTCCACCGACCAGTCACTTTGTCCTAATCGCAGAGGTTGATTAAACGTATCGAGTTCATGAGATGTAAAATGGGATCTGGAGAACGTTGAACAGCGGATATCCGGGCTTCATCACTGTCTCCGCCAAGCCGGACATGGCAAAGACTAAGGTAAGGGACGTCGCGTTCGCAAAATCCGGGGTCCACCGAGACCAAGCCTCTCGGAGCACCGGCCTTACATTTCTCCCTTTCGCCTGGTACCTCAGCGGGGGGCCTGCCCAACCACCCGCAACCACCATCCCGACCGCGGGGTCCTATCGATAACCGTCACCCAGCTTCATCACCACGCAACGTCATCCAGGCAACGACACAGTCGCCCACCAAAAACCAAAACATCCTCACCACCACACCACCAAGACTCTCGTTCACCACCCCAAAAGACTCATCGAAATCTCTCACACGACCCGCACACCAAGTAAAACCGAAACCGCAACAATGAACCGCCTCTTCGGCGCAGCCCCCAAGGGCCCAAAACCAACCCTAAACAGCGCAATCACAAACATCGACGACCGCATCTCCTCAATCGACGTCAAACTCTCCGCCCTCACCGCAGAACTAAACACCTACCAGCAAAAACTCTCCAAAATGCGCGACGGCCCCGGTAAAAACGCAATCAAGCAAAAAGCCCTAAAAGTCCTCCAGCGCCGCAAAATGTACGAGTCCCAGCGCGACCAGCTCCAGTCCCAGGTCTGGAACATGGAGCAGGCGCAGACGATGCAGGATAACCTGAAAAATACCATGGCCACCGTCGACGCGCTCAAGACGACAAACAAGGAACTCAAGAAGCAGTATGGGAAGGTGGACATTGACAAGATTGAGAGGTTGCAGGATGAGATGGCGGATTTGATGGATATTGGAAACGATATCCAGGAGAGTTTGGCGCGGTCGTACGATGTGCCCGAGGACGTGGACGAGGCGGAGCTGGATGCCGAGTTGGAGGCGTTGGGGATGGAGGCCGAGTTGGAGCCCGAGATGGGCGCCATGCCGAGTTTCTTGCAGGAGGAGTTGCCCGAGTTTGTGGATGAGGAGCCGGCCAAGGAGGGTGCCAAGCTCAAGGAGGCTGCTGGCTAATGTGCTTGCAGAGTGTGGTGCAGGAAAGGAGACCAAGATTAGATGGGAGAGCAAAGGCGAGCTTTTGGAGTTTCGTTTTGTTGTCGGCGTAATGGCATACCTCATATCCACATCATTACAAGTACCAGGCACAGTGGTTATTCATGTTCACAACTCGAAAACACTTCTTATTGTTCCGAAACTCCTCTTCTTCCCGAAAGTAAAACCAATGAGTCCTCCCTCTGCCGATACGATTCGCTATGCCAGTGAGATGCTGCTACTACTACTGCTATTCCAACACGCTACGTCGTCCACCTCTACTCCACCGTCCCAAAGAACCGCGCAACCTCCTCCAACTCCGAATCGTTGTTGCAAAAGTCCCAGCCCACAATGACACTCGTCTGACTACAACAAATGATCCTGCGGGCATCGTATTGCAACTTGAACACCCTCGCTGGGCCGTTGTCGCCGTTGGCAATGTGCGGGTGGTGTGCCGCGTCCGGCACAGGGTTTTGCGCACCTTGTACCGGCACCGGCGTCGCCTGAGTCTGAACGGGTGCTCCGGGCTGCGTCGGCTGTGCTTGATTCTGAGCTTGTCCCTGGATGTGTAAATGTCCTTGCACCTGGGGCGTCGCAGGTCCGGCGGCGGGTGTAGCGGCGGCGGCGGCGGCGGCAGCAGCTTCTTGTTCTTGAGCCTGTCGCTGGCGCAGAACTTCCATATGAAATCTGGCAAGATTCGGCTGCTGGACCTGTGTGCTTGACGACGGAGCGAATCCATTCAAGGGTGGCAGCGATGGCGGATCAATTGTTTGCGCCTCGCGGTTCGCCATAAGACGGCGCGACTGGTTGAGTTGCGTCTCCAAAAGGGCAGCATTGAGTACATTGCGGAGGTCGGCTCTGATGCGCGGGTTTGGGTCTCTGCTAATGGCAGCCTGAATATGTGAATTGTACACCAGCATCGTCGGGTAGTGATGCAAAGCCTGGCGCAGCTGCGTCGGTCCCCGAGGCACAACCGCATCAATCAGGTTCATAAAAGCCTGTGCCGAATCGGGTGTGATGGTGGCAATAATGGGACTGTCGACGGTTGTCCTGGGAGAAGATCCCCGAGTGCCGCGCGCCGTGGACGAGGAGGCTGACTCCAAGTTTGCCAGCATCTCTTGTGCGGTGAGCTGCGAAGCCGCTCTCGCCGCAGCTTGAGCTTGACTTTGGGCTGCCGCAGCTCCCTCTTCCTGACGCAGGTGTTGCGTGTCCTTCCAAACGCCCTCCTTATCACGGCGCCAGATGATGATACTCTGGTCGTAGGAGCCAGACACGATGCGAGCGTATTTGCCGCCACCGCCGCCGGGAGGAAGAATGGCACCGTACGCCGTAATGTCCTCCGGTCGTTGACTACCCGCGTTACGGGCCTGGGCACGACCACGGCGACTGCCATGATCGCTAAAGGGGCTGACGACTCCATCAGCTACCGCCTTAAAGTACATCTCGTCAATCCTCTTGGCCTCAGCCTTATCCTCTTCAGCGCTGTAAGGAAGATCGCCGAAACCAGCCTGGACCGTTCGCACAAGGTTCGTGTGCGCGCGCAGACTGGCGACTTCGAGACCCGTGAACCTGTCAAACACCTTGACCTCGTTGTCGCTGCTGCCGCTAACAATCCTCCGACCGTCGTACTGCACGCAGGCAATGCCCTTACTATGGCCAACGACTGTCCGGATACAGACCTGCTTTGTCCAGTCCCAGACCTTGATGTTTCTGTCACCGCTGGCTGACACCACTTCGTTGCCATGGATTTGAACGGCGTTGACAGCCGCTCCATGTCCGTCCAGAGAACCAATAAGGCTATACGCAGGCTTGAGAGGCAGGTCGTCCATGGGGTTGCCGTATCCGTAGTCTCTGACGCGTTTCGGGGCGTTGAAGACGACATCGCCGTCACCGTAGCCCGGATCACCGTATTTGAGCGGTCGGCGGTTGAAAATCTTGATAGTCTTGTCCTTTGAGCATGTGACCAGAATCCTTTTGTCGAATTTGATGTTGAGAACCGACTCGGAGTGAGCATTCTTGAGCCTTTGAATCATCTGTCCTGTTGAAAACTTCCACAGAATGACGTTGGAGTCACTGCTTCCAGAGACGATCAAATCTTCGTCCTTGTCCGCATCGAACTGCAAGCAGAGAACAGATCCAGTATGGCCTTCCAGGGGCGGCCTCAACAATCGCTGGGTGTGCAGACTCCAGATACGAAGGGTCTTGTCACGACTACCGCTGACGAGGTATTCGCTGTCGAATTGCAGACTGTATATGCACTCTTGGTGGCCTTCTTGCGGGTGATCCGGGTGGGGCAGCTGGAAGTTGGTGAACTTGCCCAGCTCCCAGTTTTGCTCCAGGCGGTAGCGCATCGTATATAGATACTTCCAGTCGAGCCTGTACCGTCGGCTAGGTGCGTCCCAGGACCATAGTGACGACCGCGAGATTCTGCCGAGAGCGTCGGTGGACATCATGGGCGGCAGCGAGTCTTCCTTGACAAGAGCGGCCCGTAGCATAGGCGATGCTTTACCCTTGCCCTTGGTGTCGACGCCGAAATTTCTCTCCGTACTTCGACGTGTGGACCCCGAAGCCGACCTGTCTAGATCCATATCTCCATGTTGCGGCGTAGCTGAATTCCGAGAGAAGCCGAATGACGAGGCAGGGCTGCCAAAGATGCTGTTACCCATGATTGAGTTCATCGAATCTTCCCTGGTGACCGAAGCCCCGGCGTCCGTCATCTCGAGATCGTTGTCTTCGGATATCGCGCGCTTCTTGTGCGTGTGGCCGTCCTCGCATGATCGAACCCTGTGGAGAGAGCTGGGAGATTGGTTCTGGGGTTTGTTCGCGTCTTCTTCCCACTTGTTGACTTCCGAGTAGATGGCCTTCCAGCCCTCCATGTTGTACAGCTTTTCCCATAGCTTGCGGTCGAGGGCCAGTTCGTGCCAGGCGTGGCAAGCCTTGGCGACGTGGATGAGAGAGAGAGGATCGAGGTATCCGAGAATCTTCAGGCAGACTTCTGTCGGCAAGTAGTGAACGAAGTTGATGTACATGCGAGGGTGTAGACGCTCGACGATTTCGACGATGGTCGATGTGGGTAGCTGGTCGAGGAGTGCTATAGCAAGCTCTGTTCATTTGGCAAGGTGGCGTGTCAGTTGTTACCCCAAGGAATTTGAGCAAGCAGAGCCAATGTCTGCCCTGCTGTAGCTGCATCAGAAGGCAAGGTAAACGTACCAGTCTTTTCAGAGGTGGACAGGCCGGGGAGATGCTGGGCAAGCCAGGCGGGCAGGTCTGCAGGTGGACGCGAAGCCGAGACATCCTGGGTGCCGCTGAAGCTAGGGTTCAGAGGGTCTTCGGAGTAGCCTTCGTCGGGCTGTTGTGAGGTAAAGGCAGACATGACTGGCGAGTGTGTGTAGTTCGGGAGGTTATGGAGATGTCGCGCAGGACTCGGTCTCTACGGCTCTTCTCTAATGGAAAGGTATGCGCAGTCGCGGGCCATGCGGGCGAGGGGCAGAAGGGGTTCGTGCTCGGTCGCGGGGTGGACTACGGTCGATTGGCTTCTCTGGAATGCTTCGTGGTGGTAGTGGTCGTCGTCTTCTTGGTCGAGAGTATGCGGCGGGAGAGAGAGGCAAGTGAGACTATGTGCGGACTGATATCCAGGGTAGTCTTTGGGCGACGTGATGCAAGGCGGCTAGGGTTCCTTTGATGGGCGTGGTTACTTATTGGCGGTGATGCAATGGTAGGTGTAGAATGTTGTCTTAGTTGTGTCGCATCCAGAAAATAAAGCAAGGAACGGGTGCGGCTTGAAAGCTGCGAGTGTCGATGCAACAGCAGAAGCAAGGCAGGCAAAGAGAAGAGGAGATGGAACAGGGTGTGGGGTGGGAAAATAGTGGGATTGAGATTTTGGATTGAGATGGAGAGTTGGATTGGGGGAAAGGAAGGGTTGGTTGGATGATGTTGAACGGCGGGTTGAATGCTTGGATGTTTGGATGCTGGGCTGACCGGGGGCGGCACGGCGGGTGGAAATGCAGCGGGAGCGCTTGGCCGTTGTTGGTTGAAGATGCCTGGGTGCCGCCGTGTGGTAAGCAGGCAGGGCAATAATTACGGATGCAGGTAAGCGATCCAGACCTGCCCGATAATTACCTTAGGTGACAGCTCAGGTGAGCAAGGTGAACACAAGGCAGTGGCAGGCAAGACAAGGCAGCGGAGTGTGGAAGGCGAGAGGCGGCGGCGGCGGCGGCGGCGGCGGGCGGTATGAAGACGGGAACCTTAGGGAAGCCAAGTGGGCACTACCTGAGGTAGGCGGGGATTGCTCTGCAGCCTGGAAAGCCTGTTTTTTGGTCCCTTGGAATCACCTCAACCTGAGAAATTGGTGATTGGCATAGGATGAGAGGGGAAACGAGGGAACCATGGAACATGGAAACACGGGAACACAACAGCACAACAACAAGTTGACCGCTGAGCAACTACTCCGTATGGTACCGAACTAAGGTCCGCATACGGATCCACGGATACCTCATGCAAACAAGTTTTGGCAGACTGAGAGAGGGCGGAGGTGGCGGGATGGGATGGGGATGATGGAGCAATAACAGACGGGTCCGGCGATTATCACTTTTCCTTGTTCTCTTGTCTAAAGGCATTGCTCCCCACGCTCCCTCACGCTTCTATTGCTATTTACTCTCCTCCGTCTCCATGTCTGTTGATCAGAGCAATTGACCAATATCATCATCGCATCCCATCCCCTCATCCCCTCAGCATCCTCTCACGATGCCCACCTCCAACCTCTCATCCTCAGCTCCCCATCGAACCCCTCTGATATCCATACTGAGTGCGGATACCAGACCAAGTCAGTGACAAGAGTTGTGGACATGCAACAGACAAAGTAGGCAAGGACCGGCAGGCAAAAATAAGCCGCAAGAACAAGGGGTCTGCCCAAGCAATGCGGAGCGACCACCGGCCGCGGGAGTATGCCGCCACGTCCGTCCACCGCCCGCATTCCACTCACTCACTCACTCTGCATTACTCCTAGAAAGCTGTCCAGCGTTCACTTTACATGGTGCGAGCACGGCATAAGGTCAGACCATGCGCCGAAGCCGTCGCTCTCTCTGATAGCAGGTACCCCCGAGCGCCCCCGGGATGACGAACGGCTTCCGGGAAGAATATGAAAAGAAGCTCAAGATAATGAAGCGTCATTCAGCCCTCTCACTCCCATCTACTTTCAAGTTACCATACCTCTCAATTTACAACGTCTCCCTCCCTCCCACTTGTGCCTGCCGCCTCACTGCACGAAATACATACATACATACATACAGCACCTAGACTTCGCAAAAGACCCGCAAATGAGCAGCAACGGGTGGCAAAAACGCGGGAGGGGCTTTGGGTGGAGTTAAAATCCAGAACGTGCCAGCAGAAAGCAACATTCAAAAGTGAAAAAAGACCTCGCCTCAAGCCTATGGGGGATCCTAGGTTCACTACGGAGTATGGTTGGGCAAGAGTGTGATGTGGCACACATGTGCGCATGTCCAGATTTAGACACGCCCGCCGCCGGCCGACGACTTGTCTTACATTTCGTGTATCCCCACGAACGCAGGGTGAGATCTTGTCTTTTGGGATTCGTGATCTCAGATACTCGCGTATTACATGAGACACACATCTAGATCTCACAACTACTCAGAAATCCGAGATCAGATCTGACCTTGATCTTATTCCCCCTCAGCTTACTTGACATATAATCACCATAATCACCCATATATGTCATGAACCGTGGCGTTCCCTCACATATACCTCTTACCCGCAGATACACCTCCCTCCCCAATTTAAGCTCACAACGGAACTCAATCGGCCAAGAAAGTTTATTTTTCTTCTCAGTGAATCCCCTTCTGTCTTGCTTGATTACCTGCTCCATACACCTACACATAGACAGCATTCACGATTCCCCTCCCCGTCGACGCCGACTTCTCCATCGCACAGCAAAACCCATATTCCCTCTTTCCCCCCTCCCATCGGGCTGCCGAGACTGGTCTGGTTCATCGCAACATGAAATGCTAATCATGTGCCCAGACTCGGCTCTAGCTCTTAGGTTCCTGTATGTTACCTTCAAAGTTGTTTCCCATGCGTCTTGGATTTCATCACTGGCCGATGCCATAAAACGCTTTTCTGATACAGGCCCTTCTCACTGAACCAAGGCCGGTTGTACTTACTTTCAACTGCCTCATCGTTTACTACTCAACCGATTTCGAAGAGCAGAAAAAAAGAGGTGAGGCAAATCATATCGTAATGTTCTTGCCACTTAGCTTCATGGTTTCCCTTGTGCCTACAAGCTGCTGTCGAGCGGGCCGAAAAAAATGGAAAGCCGAATGATAAGTCAGACGCACCTGTCACTGACACGTGTACGATGCAGATCGGCGGCGGCGAACGTTCCGCCCTGATCAATAGTTTCCCCCTACTCTTCTCTCATTCGCGATCTGAAATGGCCAATTCTCGGGCCTACCACGAAAGTAAGTGGATATGATCGCTCTGCCGATTCAGCCGGCTTCAGCCATGAGCCAACACCAGGTGCTTCCGCCCTCCCCGGTGAGCCTCCGAAAAGTGACAACGCCCGGTCCGGGCACCCGCATGACTGCGCCTACCTCTCAGGCACTAAAAGCGCGGCAAGAAGTTCAGGAGGCTCACTAGGACAAACACGAGGGATCCCTCAACCTGATTTCAAAGGGACTCTCCTGACAGATGCAGGTCGAGCACGAATAGAGGCCGCGGGAACGACGTCGCACATGGCAGAAAACTCCAATGAGGAAGCCGACTTGGTTTCAATGACTTTCCCATCCGCCCGCGGTCATGTCGCACGAAGCTTTTCTTGTGCGCGCGCGCTGTTCGGAGCTGACCTTGCAATTCTCTAGAAAACCTCCGGGTAAGTTTCTTGGGTGTTCGCCTCTTCTGCACGTCAGCCCGGGACTCCCCTCTCTGAATGCTCGCCTCCGAAGGGGGTATGACGTTCTCTCTTTATTAGAGATTGTTCGTGTGAGTGCAGGCGTGTCATTGCCGGGCGCATCGAGTCGCGCACAAGGTCACGAGGCGACGCTCAACAATCAGATTGTTTCCCAAACTGCGATGAGTCAAGGCAAACTGTGTCCGTAAAAGCACTGGCTCTTTGGATGAGTGCTCTCAGAATGGAATGCCTGTTTATGACAACGGACAACCAGAATGAGGCGAAATGACCCCCGAGCTTCGTCAGTCTACTGCGTGAACAAACGGCCTAAAGTGATTTTCCGGGGAACTTCGGCTTTTTCGTGGATCCACCACGAATCCTACGGTCCCTATTCGTATCCGTGAGGTCTAGTCCTACCAGTTAGGGGATGGGCTGCGAGAGATGCCGTGGTTTGCGTGGGTGCATGCACGAGAGATTTGTCCCGATAGACTATCCCCAGTTTGTCCGTCCTTTGTGAGCCTCAGCCCAATGGTGACATCTTGGCATCCTCCGCAAAATACCATTGGTGAAAATCTTATGCTGTCATAGATTCCCAGCTGTCTTAGTGATGTCTCGTCCTCAAACAATTTTCTGGAGGAAAACAAACAACGGGCAAAGAAAGACCGGGTGCTGCGGCTGATCTCCATGCTCTCTGATGGCGCCTGCTAAACTGCGAATGGCATAAATTGTGCAGCTCAGGCGCATCGCATCGGTCCTGAGCTATCCAGCGGCCGCCGAGTCTCAACCATGCCGCCTTGAGACGGGGCCGGTACTCATCATCAAGCCACCGAAAACGCCTCTCGCTCCGAGCAGCTCGCACCACCGCTCCAGCCCGGACCGCCCAGGCCGAGAGTGAGACGCACCGTTGAAGCCTCCAAGCCTGGGGCTGAGGTGGCCCGCTGCGATACTGGGCTTGCATAGGTATTTCTCTTTTGCAGGATACGTACATGGGAAGAAACAAGGACGAGCGCCATGTTTGGCATCGACAGCTCATTCCACAAAGCAGCAAAGGCACGAGAGGTAATCTGAAGCATATTGCAGCGCATCTTGAATGATGGGAAGATTTTGCCCGGGACGCCCTTCGTTCGGAGTGGATTCCGCTCGCCTTTCTGGAGGCCAGTCGTCGTGACCCATGTCGGCCATCCCTTGTAAGGCGTTGGTTGAGTGGTCCAGAAAATCCCAAAAATAATTCATCATGTGAGGCTCCCATTGTTTCCTAGGCCTTGTGGGACAGCCTACCAGGTGCATGAAGATGGTGTTTCAACGTCTTTGACGTGTTTTGGTCAGCTCATGGAGGGTGGCTTACCGGGACTTGATCCGCGGTTCTGGATTGGATATCCAGCCAGGACTTAGTTCGCAGGGAATTAGGTTTTGTGGCCATGGACCTGGACATGACGGTACCTATGCCCTTCAACGGGCGGTCGGTAGCCGTGTGCCCGGACAGACTGACAGCGACAGTTGCAGGGTGAGCGTCGTCCTTGATAGCAAGCGTGAAGGCGCGAGAGACCCTGAAGAGACACGACGGCAGAGTCAGAAGAGACCAGGATGGCAGTGCGAGGCTGCACGGCGCATGTCCTGTCTGCGGCGTGAGAGCAGGGTAGTTCCGTGCATTGGAGCATCGAAACAACAGACGGATGGGAGACGCTCATGCGGTTGTCTGAGAACCCATCCACCGATTTCGTCTGTGTATGTGGGTGAGTGAGTCTGTCGGTCGGGCGGCTTAAAATGCTGACGGGCAGCATAGCACAGTGGTTTCTGGAGAGTGGGGGGGCCATGTGTCTGTATCCCTCCTAGCAGCCGGCAGCGCAAAACGTGGTCAAAGTTTGCTAAGAGAAGACGCCTTGCGATATGTGCAGCAGGATATACGGCGGGCGAAGGGGGGAAGGCCCGAAGAGTGCAGACACGACCGGATGGCTGTGCTCGAAGGCGCCTGGCGCATCGTTAGTTTCAATGTTGGGAGGAGACCAACCGCGATGAACTGATTGCGACTGCAACGGCAGTTGTCGATCGATGCAGGCCGGTCAGGTCTTGTTCGGGTCTTGGCCGAGATGGCGATGCGCATCGAGGTCAGTTTGTCGAATGCAACCCCCAAGATAGGGAATATGCAGCATCGAGTACGGACTGCGGAGGATGGATGCAAAAGAGTTGGTCAGGAAGTCTTTGCTCAGAGGGCACGAGGGGTCGTGGAGATTTTGGCTTTGAGAGCGCAGGAAGGAACCCTTCTTTCTTGGTGCCTTCCCGAGATTCCCCAGGTGTCTTGTCGGAGCACAGGCCGGGGCGTTAGCTAAGCCGAGATGGGTTATCTGTAACTTCTCAGGTAGGTACCAATGTGCTCCGGACGCTACGGTTGTTTCCAGGTTCCCTCATTGTACCTACCTCTCCAGCTAAATTTTGTTTTCTTTCTTGAAAGATATCAAGATACTCTGCACTCTATCTTGATTGATGACCTACCTTGCCGAACAGCTCACCGTATGATATTGCCATCTCCGTGTCTCTAACTGATCTTGACTGAGCAATACAAATAAATCATGTTAGGCGCAAGTGGCCTGAGGGGTTTGGACCAATAAGTGGGCAGTCGGCTCATTGTGCAGAGCAACCATGGGTTTATCGAATTCTACAGCGGGGGAATAAAGGGCCCGGCGGGCATGTCGTGCAACGAGTACCTTGCAGACGCAATGGGGGCATGGCAATCAACCCGACACCGGCTTGAAGGTGCTCGAGCATGCGAATACTGTGTAAATACGGATACTGATTGATGCTTATGATTTGTTCCATTAAAGGTGTCTGCAATTGGTGCAAGACAGCGTTGGATCACAGGTATTGTACCGTAGAAACTACATAGTGTTAGTTCATATGCGACGGTGGATAGGGTACTTCTCACGCTTCCCCTTCCCGGGAAAGGCCCGTTTCCTCCATGCTCGTCATCCAGGGCATAACAATGACAGCCGTCAGAAAACAAGACGCAGGATGCGGGACACGGGACGGGCAGAATGGAGGATCTGCTCAAGACAGTAGGTAATCAACAATCCACCTCAATCCATATAGTTTGGATAGTGAGTTTTCAGAAAATTGTGTATCGTCGAGTCTGCTTGTGCTGGACTCTGCCCCCCGGTCTATCCGTACCCTCCATTACAAGTTTCCCCTATCTTTGTTCCATCAACCTTCTCGAACAATGCAGTGCCGGCCAAGTAGATGTACGGATGTGTCTAGGTCTTGTGTTCCTCTGCCTCGTGCTCGATAACCCCCCTCCTCTTTGTCAGTCCGAGTGCCCTCCTTCTTGTATGCCTCAAGACTTGTCCACTCCTTGTCTCCAAGGATCTACGGTGTAGACGGTCGCTCTGTCCGTAATAGAGATCTCGATATTCCTCTGTGATGCTGGAGAGTTGTTGAGAGCACAGATGCTGATTCCTGATAGAGGTCTTCCTGGCCAGTGACGCACTCAAAATGTCCCCATTCCTATTCTGATCATTTGTTCCTTCCTTCCCCGTCGAGGCTTGCCCTGCAATACGTATGTACGTACTCTTGCGCCTGAAGGCTGATGGAAGGCTGATGGGATCGCAATACGTACCGGGCGCGCACCACGAGGGCAGGTTCAATCAATAGGAGACGTGGATCTGTCCACTGCGACGGGAGACCAAGCCCAATGTAGACTAGCGCAATCAACCGCTAATTTGAAACGCCCAAAACCTCCATCAGATCAATGCGGCCAACCTGAGGCCGCCTCTCCACCACAGTACCGCGCAGTTGTACCTCTGCTCCCACCTGTGCCTCTTTCTCTCTCTCTCTCTTTTCGCTGGGCCTCTCTCTGCCTTTCCTTCACAGCGGAAGGCTCAAAGGCTCAAAGGACGTGGATCCGAATCTGTCATCCTCACACCTCTCAGCCCAACCAACCCATTCCCACTCACACAACATCCGCCCTCCACTATCCCACCATCCGTACCCATCACCCACCCACCCCCTTGCTCCTGCTGCCAATACCTTACTCTAGGGGCCCAGGCAATAAGCAGAGCACGGGCGACGAGACACTGCACCACATTGGACCGCAACAGCAACTGGAGCTGGGAACTGGGGACTGGAAACCCGACCTGGCTGGCCTGACCTGACCTTTCCCAAGCACCCAAGCAAGTGTTGAAGCAACCACAGAGACTCAGGCGCTTCCACACTCTGTATCCTTAGATCCTAAAGGTACGAATAGTCTCCCCCCCTCTGTCTTTGCCTTTGCGGCTTGCCTGTGCCTGTGCCTCTCGCCTTACCCCCTAAACCTTTGCTTTACTTTCCCCCATGCTGCCGTTCACTACCTAGTACCTAACCCAGCCCCCCTCCAGGTTGAATCAAGACACACCCTCATGCACGCCAACTGCATCAGCCTGCGTCCTGCAACAGCGTCCCCAAATCCAGCGAAAACTCCAACCTCGACTTGCAAATCTCTGTCGGCAACCTAGCACTCCTCAACCGACACTGCCAAACGACGTCCATTTCGCAATACCTCTTGGCCCACGAGGGCTTGTTCGAGATACACGCTATCGCCCACCACTAGTGACACCTAATAGGAGGATCAAGGACCGGACAGGGGTCGAAAAGGCAACTTGTTTCGCCCCGATAGCCCGCATCGCTCCGCACCGCTCCGCAACTTCGACTCGTCGACTCGAAAAACAGACCCGCCCGACCAGCCCAACCTCCCTCCTCCACCGACTCTCGGCGCCGGCACTTCTGTCTCACACACACATACTGCCTTCTATCTCTCTCTCGCACACGCACACGCAAACCCCGTACACGAAGACGTCCCTATTCCTCCTCGTTATCCGCCTGTTCCAAGCCCGGCAAAACACATAGAGGGGGCCCTATTCGATCACCACAAGGGGGGGAAATACTAGAGTCCGAACGCCCATCGCTCAAACCCCTTGTTCTCATTTTCGCCCTCCAAGAACAAACATACCCTTCTCCCGACGACGCCCATCGCCCACGAGAACCTTCCCCGACGCCCACCGCTACATTGTCGCTGCTCCGCCCAAGCACCGATATCCTGAACCCGAGTCCACTCGACCAGACCGACTCTCGAGAACCCCGGTGCCGAATGACGTGACCCTGTCTTCGACATTGGACCACGAACCGCTTCATCGATCCTCCACCGCCTCCCCCCTCGGTCCTCGCACGATTCCCGATCCTCTTCGTTGCCGTCGTCGTTGTAGTCAATCGTCGTGTCCTTACATCCTCTCCCCTCCATTCACCGGATGGGTTAGGACGTCATGGCTCATGCTCCTCTCCTTAGAACAAACACGGCTCCTGTATTCCAGCAATCCAACGGAATTGGCGGCCTACCCAATACCATGAGTAATGCGCCCCGCGCCAGCCAGCTTTCCGGCTCGACAGCGTACACATCCTCTGGCTCTCTCGCCTCCTTCAACAGCGCATCCACGGTGACGCCCCCGCAAAATGGAGGTCCCGTTCAGGCTACGGCCAACATCATCAACCAAAAGGCCGATGCCTCGCGGTCCCTCTACCAGATTTGCATGTCCTTGAAGCAGCGATTATCACAGGTACCCGGCTTCGACCCCTATCTCCAAGAGCTCGACCCCAACGACCCTGTCGAATCACTGTGGGCCCTGTTCCGCACCGGTTATCCGCTACTCGACATTTACAACGCCCTGCAGCCAGAGAAGCCCCTCGAGATCGAAGGCGCAAACGCCAGTGCCAGCGACAGCAAAAAGGCAAAAATTGCCCTCTTCAAATTCATTCAGGCGTGTCTAAAGGATTTGGGTATACCCTCGGCGGAATGCTTCGTCATCAGCGACGTACTAGGAAATGACACGACTGGTTTTGTCAAGGTATGCGAAACGACTGATGGCTCTCCTCCACGGTGACCTTTGCCTCAAGATCACCATCAACCATGTAAATTGAGAATGACCAAGTCTGACCTCGTCCTAGACCACTCAAGTCGTCAACTACGTTCTCGACATCGCTGAGCAACGGGGTCTCCTGCTGCAACTCCAGCCTTATCCCGAAGACGACCTTCCTATGGAACCAGGCTCCAAGCTGAGCTACCGCGATCATATCGTGAAGGAACTGGTAGACACAGAGCGAAAATACGTCCAAGATTTGGAGAACCTCTACGACCTGAAAAGTAGCTTGGAGACTAAGGGAATCATCACTGGCGACACCATTCATCAGATTTTCCTCAACATCAACGCTATCCTGGATTTCCAGCGCCGATTCCTGATCCGTGTCGAGACGACAAACTCCATGCCCAAGACTGTACAGCATTGGGGTGCTCCATTTGTCACCTACGAAGATGCATTCGACATCTACCGTCCCTTCATCGCCAATCAGCGCAAAGCAGCCCAAGTCGCCAATCAGGTCTTTGACCAGATCAAAGCTAGCGGGCATCCCGTGGCCGCAGACTTCAACACCTTGGATGGCTTCCTCCTCAAGCCCATGCAGCGTCTCGTCAAGTACCCTCTGTTGTTGAAGGACTTGATGAAAAAGAGCGAGGACGAGGATATTAAGGCCGATCTGGCAGGCGGCATCGAGTCCGCAGAAAGAGTTCTGTCAAAGGCCAACGAAGAAGTCAACCGAGATCTGTTGGACGAGGCTTTGGACGACTTGCGAAACCGCGTCGACGACTGGAAGAATCATCGCGTGGAGCAGTTTGGCAGGCTACTGATGCATGGTGTTTACACGGTCGTCACAGGGAAGAGCGAGCAAGAAAAGGACGTAAGTATTGCTCTACAAATTTGCTATCCCCAACCAAAAACAAACACTGATTTTCGTAGTACGAAATTTATCTCTTCGAATGCATACTACTTTGCTGCAAGGAAATTTCGGCGAACAAGAGCAGGGACAAGAAGGATAAGACTAGGTCTACCGGGCCCAAGATCAGGAACAAGAACGCGAGACTTCAGTTGAAGGGCAGGATCTTCATGACGAATGTTACTGACATCGTCTCCCTCGCAAAGCCTGGTATGGAAAGGAATCAACCCTAGTCCTCAACGCTCCATTGCTAACCAATCCACAGGATCCTACATTGTCCAAATCTGGTGGAAAGGTGATCCCGGCGTGGAGAACTTCATGATCAAGTACACCAACGAGGAGCAGATGAAGAAATGGGCAGTCGCCTTAGAGGCGCAACGTAAGGAGAATACGCCCAGTAAATCTGCTACGAGTCCCGATTCGGCGGCACCCGACTTTGCCTGGACACGCGAAAACGCTGGCAAGCTCGAGAACCCGTATCTTAACCAGCAAGACGATGACGATGACGAGGAACTGTGGCCACCCGCCTCTGCCCCTGCCCAGTTTCCCATGCCGACTCAGTCTACAGGAGGCAGCATGTTGCCTCGCAACGCATCGAGCACAAGCCTGCGGCAACGCGCCGCAACTAATGAGAGCCTTGCCGGTATGGTGAGGGCTCCGCCTCCTAGATTCCCTCTCCCGCAACCACCGGCGCCTCTCAGTCTTTCGACTCAGGTGCCTGCTCCTGGTGCCTCTTCACCTGGTGCCCGCGGCGGCGACTCGTACTTTTCACCCGTAGCCGATTCACCTGTTTCCTCACGCACGAGCACCGCCAGCAATATGTTCCCTAATCCAGCATACCAATTCCCCAAGTCGCTGACCCCTCAGCCTGGGTGGGAAGATCCCAATCAGAGATACACGGCCCCCGCAATGCCTCGAGCTCCTTCGAGAGACGGTTCTTCGCAGCACAGGAATCCTCGCGGACCGTCTTTGCCGGCAATGGCTTCCAACAGCCAGACTGCAGCACAGCAGCAGCGCAGCAGATCGTACAGCACTCCTGATATCAACGCCCCCGGGAATATTCGTCGCACTCAAGGGGGCACTCCTGTCCCGGCGGTGCCTGGCATCCCGGCGCATCTACACCCTGCCCACGACCAGAATATCCCACGGTCGCAGACCGGCTCGCCCCGGGTGAATGACGTTCCCATCAGGTCAAACACGCAGAGCCCAGGCGCTCAGCGAGAACGCCAGTACGGCCACCAGCAGTCTGGAAGTTACGGTGGCACCATGTCACAGTTCCCCGCTCAGCCAATCTATCCCCGCCAGGGAACGCCAAACTCTGTCCATGACCGGCAGCTCAGCATCGATGCGGCTGCGTCTATGAATGCGATGTTGTCTCCTCCCCTTGGCACCGGCGGGATCATCGGATCTCAGTCAAACCCCCTTGCCAGCCCCGACCTACCGATTCCCACGCAGTTGAAGGTCAAGGTGAACTTTGTCGACAGCGGCAACTACGTCACCCTGGTTGTTGCATTCAACATCACATACCAGTCCTTGATTGACCGCATCGACGCCAAACTTGCGCGGTTCACCAACAGCAGTATCAGTAAGGGCATGCTTAAGCTCCGATACCAGGACGAGGATGGCGACTTCGTCACTATTGCCAGTGACGATGACATTCAGATCGCCTTTATCGAATGGCGCGAGGGAGCCCGCGCCACTGCACCGGGAGGGGTAGGCGAGATTGAGCTGTTCTGCGTTGGAGAAACGGCCTAAGCGCCTCATTTCTATGTCGAAGTAGGTCTTTTGGGAGAACATTGGGACTTTCCCAGGCGCATCATACCCATATACCCACCGGGGGGCATTTCTTTGCATACATGGCGTCCGGAGCAGATTGTTTCACCTCATTTTTATACCTCTCAGCATCGCATCAACAAGCACGTGGCTGCTAGACTACCATACATCACGGGGTTCGTAGCGGCAGCCATTTGCGGTTAAGAAGCATTCGGACTCGCGCACGAGAATTTAGACGGTTCCATCATGACCATACGTTTCCTTGCCCTCAAGGACACGGTCCCCTATGCGGGGATTGTATCCCAAGGCACTCATTCATCGGATCGCTCCTTTTCTTCTTTTTGGAAATACTTGACATCAAACTACCATGGGCGACTCTGGATGTCTCTATGGGGTTCTTCGATATCGAACTCTTCAGGGGCAGATACATCCAGAGCTCCCATCATTTCACTTTCACTTCTTCTCTTGGTTGACTACTCTTTCTGGGATGACTAACCTACTTTCGATCGTTACGACTTTGATGATGGAGGACGAATTTTGATATCTGGCTCTGCCTAAATGGTTGGGTGCGGTTTGGCTGGGTGGCAACTGAGCTGCCATCAGCCAGGAGGGAACGAGAATGTCTGCCACGTCGCTCGCTACAGTTTGGGGATCGGGTTCTTGGCTGGCGCTAGCTAAAGGTTATTCGAACAATGAACAGGCGTTACTGTTCCTTCATGACGATGTCGAGCCTCCCTTGCATGGTGATGTTTGTTTGCTTGTCTTTCTTTTGCACTTCAACTAGGTGCTGAAATCTATGAGATCTGTGATTTTTGACGTGTGATTTGATATATTTCAGAGACGATGATGATCCCAGCTTGTGTGGTATACACAAATTAGCGACGCTCGAGACGAGCTATCTACCTGCTTCTGTAGTGATTGTTGATGTTTGGCTCGATTGCTTTTACTTCTTCTCCCGATTGTGATGGCTTGCCAGTAGAATAGTCTTTGTCTGCGTGTCCTTGTCACGCAAGAAAACTTGGTGGACCCCTGGTCCCTCGGATTGCGGGAATCTATAGATTCTAGTGCCCTGTTGTGATTCATGATGGACTGGTCGATTATTTTCTCAGGGGCGTGACATGTACTGAGAAGAAGAGGACCCCGGAAGGGATGGCAGCATTATCCCCATTTTCTTTTCTCTCGTCTTGTTTGCTTGGGATGATGGAAATAAGATGTTTTCTGCGATTGCCTCCTACCATCCGCGTCGTGACTTAATTAAGTCTGCATAAGATCCGTGCATGTTAACATGATGTCTAGTGACGGGGGCGAAGGCCACGTAACCCAAATACCCTGATCTGTAGGTATATCAGGTTTCTCGAGAGTACGGCGAGGAGGCAAGGAGAATGGGGAGACGGATTCATACTTCTTTGAGAAATCGAGCCAAAGATGAACGTCAGGTAGCTTGAGGAAAGTTAGGGTTCCGCCTTGCGGCCGCCCCTTTCACGATGGAAGTCCACCACATACCTAAGCAAACAATGATAACAGGAAAGAAGCTGAAAACTGACCGCCCCTGCTAGGAACCGCACAGTACGCCCTTCAGCCAATCCGAACATCTGCATAGGTGAAAGACTACTTGGCTGCTTCCTCCTCGTTCCTGTCACTCAAGTGATTCAGGTAAGTTGGCCGAGGGGTTCTTGGGGGAAGACCCGAGTGTGGATCTCAGTCCCCTTGGCTACTGATCTGACACTTAAGTTTTTTGTCCGATTCCCCGTGGAGGACTTTTTTTCTTTTGTATCCTTTGGGGCTTCACTAACGGCCACCCCGACCTCACCTAAAGGTGTGGCACGGAGGATACGTCCCTCGGGTTTCCTCTTCTATCCCTCCTTTCGCCAAACCGTTCGATAGAAGGCGCCCCTTCACGACTTCTGGTCACCTGGCCGTCCTTTGTCTGCCGTAGATGAATGATGTGCCTGTTACCACCACAACAGCGCCTGTTGGGATTGGATCAGACAGTCTGCGATGTGGCTGAGTGGTTGATGCACCAAATAAGTCAGCGAATCCCGCAGGCGTATCGAATACATTGAAGTTTGGTGCTTTGATTAGCTAGCTTGGATGTTTTCTCCTCATGCTTTGGGAACTTCCCATGGTAGCACGCGTGTAATGTCAAGGTTTAGTGTTTATGGAATGAATTAATCGCCCTCGCCATTTGGTTAAGCAATTGCATATTAGCCTTATGACGGTGGTACCTACTTAATGAACTCCCTCTAGAGAGTGCTCTGATCAAACTACCTTCGCGTGTCCAAAGGCCTTTGGTATCTGAGTGCTTCATGAATGAAGTCGCAGCAGGTGACGGCGCTCCTTGTTGCGTTATGAAGGACACTGGTGTCGAAAGCGAGGCTGTGACGATATACTCGGGACTCTGATGCGGGTATGCTTTGGACAGAGGTATGAAGGCCCTCGTTATACGCGTTCCTATGTATTGCGAGAGATTTGAGGGGGAGAGACGGGAATGCAGGTTCTTGGTTTGATGGATATCCGTAAATGTCTTTCCACACCGATTTACTGGATTGGGTACCTTCAAAAACCTCTGGCAAAAATTGGTACGTCTCGGAGATTCAAGTCACGAGGATTATGAAACTGATGAACAGCTGCTCCGGCTATATATCAGGTTAGGTCATGATCCGTGGCTGGTCTTCGAGTCAATTCTACCCGGCGAGATGAAGTAAGAATGGCTGAAGACCGTCGATTCATCAGATCAGATCACAGATGAAGGGAGTCTGCAGGAAAAACATGATGGTAGCGAGTATTCTTTTCTATCCGCCTCGTATGGTACATAGTATACAACGTCGATCCTCTTGAACGCCAAATTCCGTGTGTAATAGTGTGGTTGTACATCTCATATGCCTCAAGCTGTGCCCGATTCACCACTTCCAGACGGATCAAATAACCGTCATCGGCCGAATCCGCCTCTGCTGCTGCCATGGTCGGTTCAGCTGTCGTGAACGTAGCGCCATTGCCCTCGCGATCTCTCCCGGAGTATGCCATTCGGGGAGGACCTCCATCTCCCTATGGTCGGCCCCCCATATTTGCAATAAGTTCGGTGTATGAGCTCTGTCCCCGCCGCGCGACCTGCTTTACTTGCCCTTGGAGTGGGGAATCATCTTGTCGTACATACGGCCGAGGTGGTAGTTGACGGTGGACGAAGGCTCCTTGGGCTTCTTGGGCTGATCCATGCAGCCGCGCAGGGCGTTCTCGAGAGCGGCGCAGCCAGAGGTGTTGTAGCCTGCTGAGGCCCAGCATGCTGTGGAAGAAGGAGTGTCAGTCCATGTAGCGCGAGGGGTTTGATGATGAAGACACTGCGATGTCGTCCAGGGGGCGCTCATCTAGCGACTGGGGTAAGGCAACTCCGTTGATAGGAGAAGATGCCAGAGAGGGGAGTTTAGGAGGGACCATGGTAGGTAGACTTACCAAGAACTGAGGTCATGACCTGCATGCAAGGCTGCTCAACCTTGCCGTTGGGGTTACGAACACGGAGGACCTTGACAGGCGGCAGGCGCATCGGTTTTTGCGGCATGATGGGCAATGTTCGTGTATTTTAACCGGTCAATTATGTCGTCGGGTCGTTTTGAAAGCTGTGCAAGCTATGCGCTTGTCGTTGAACCGTCGGATTCGGTTGTCGAGTGGTGGATCTTTGCGTCCGTCGTCATACACCTCTACCAGGAAAGCTCCCCGTTGCTTCGCAAATGGACGCTATCGCGAAAGCTTTGATGCGGAGCCCCCCAGGAACTTTTTTTCACCAATCACGTGTCTTCAGCCTCGTCGATCCCTTGTAAGATTGTTGATTGGTCAAAAACGCGGTGTGGCGTCTGGATGGTGGGGTAGAACACAGTAGCAGACAGCCGCGCCACCGTGCACAGCGCGCCTGGGATGCCCCCAGAGCTGCGACTGCAAGCGGCACTTGAGGTGTGTGATGGTGTGTGAGAGCCTCGGGTGCTCCCGATTGGCTGCCTTGCCTCGAATGTAAACAAAGAGTGACCTCGAAAGCGTCAAGCGTCCCTTTCCTGCGTTGCCCGTTGCCAGCCCACCACACCGATTTTCACTTAATGGTCCCCTTCCTGCGCAATATCTGCCCTCCTACTCCCCCTTCCCGGTTCTCGATTTAGAAACCTGGAGGTACCTTGAACCTTTTTTCTTCTTTCCCCAATCCATCCTCCAATTTCCGCGCCCAGGAACCACAACCCAATCGCGACACAAGCCGATACCTCACCCAATTCAAGGTATCGTACTTTAACAATCCACGACACAGTCAACACTGCACTACAATCGTCAATCGGTTTCTTTTGAGCCGTTTCCTGGCTTTTCAATCCGGTGGTTGTTCTGCATCCCATCTTCCTCCCACCCCCTGCGCAGTCGCGCTTTGTTTATCTTCTTTTTTCCGCCCCCAAATCGCATCGCGCCTCCGCGGCCACTTTTCCCACGATCACGTCCGAGAGCCTTCCTCCGCGCCGCGTCGCATTGAAGCCATAGCTCCCGCGCTAGATCCCTCCAACACACTTTAACCTCGTCATCCGGTCATCTGGTCAATGTCTCGCAGTCGCCGCCACTATACGGATACGCGATGAATTTTCCAAAGTTGACCTTTAACCCGCCCTCGGGCAACCTCACACCCTCCCCTACCGCGCGCTCCTCCCGCGACCGCACTGCTAGCCCTAAGAGGGCGCCGGCCTGTTTCTCGAACCTTGAGCCCACCCAGGGCCGTACCGCTAATGTCGATATGGCCTTCTCTAACTTCGACTTCACCACGCCAACCAAGGGAGGCGCCGCGCCCATTTCCGCGGCCACAACACAGCCCGCAAGATTCGCTCCGATGTCTTTCACTTCGCCAGTCAAGAAGTTCAGCACAGCTGAGACCCCGAGACTGAAGGCCGGCGCTGCAAGACTTTCAACGACAACGCCGCTGGATGCCCCGACCAAGACCCCATCCCCGAAGAAGGTGTCGTTTGCCGACGCCAGTTTCCAATCCTTGACTGCGTCGACTCCAAAGCTCGCTCGCAATCTCTCTCCGAAGTCGAGTCCTTCGAAGCCTGCCGTCTCCGATTACTCAGTCATGTCAATTACCTCTCCGACAGCATCCCTCGTCTCCAACGATCGGTCCCCGCGCAGCGATTCCGATTCGAATCAACAGCAGGCCGAGTCCGCGGCAGAGGAGGAGGGACATGAAGACGACGATGAGGAGGAGTCTCAAAGAGGTGTAGAGGAGGCTGGCGGGTTCGAGTCCCCTTCAAAGCTCGACATCACCATGGCCGATATCACCATGGTCTCAGACTTCGCCCCGTCGCCCAAGAAGTCTCAGCAGCCGTACACGTTCGCCACTATCGAACTTTCGGAAGCCGCGAAGGAGTTTTCGTATGCCTACCACCTTCCCATTTGTATACCCCCTCACTGACTTGTCCCTTCTAGTACCCCCTTCGCCCCCGAGAGCTACGCCGACTTCGATGTTACGACTGCGCTGGCCCCAGTGCCCAGCTTTGCCCGGCAACGGGCCCGTATTCCCCGCACAAAGCAACGGAAGCCCAGGGGCATTGTGTTCGAGAAGGCCATCGCAAGACAAGTTGCCGAGTCCCTCGCCATGGAAGAGCTCGAGGCCGCCGCCAGCTTCCGGCACATTGCCATGAAGGGCGGTCTGGCGTATGCCCTCTGTCCTCGCAAGAGGCAGAGGGTGGCCGAGCCCACGGCAGAGGACGACTCGGAGCCGTACTGGCTGGAGGACGTGGACGAAAGCGGCGTGATTAACATGATCGAAGCTCGCCGCGTCCTGCGCAACGACCTGAAGGCGCTCCCCGCCGGCCCCTCTGTTCACGAACAGCGCCGCCAATACCATCAGGAGGTGGAGAAGTATGGCGAGCCCATCGTGCCGACCTGTGGGAAGAGAAACTATGACGGTGAGAAGAAGCGAGCCTATAACAATGGCTTGCTGACTCACACCATCATGGCGCCTCTTCTTGCGTTCCCGATGCCAGAGCTGAGCTTCGACTGGGTGCTTGAGACTGCCATTCGCGAATCCAATAGGGTTCATGGTCGCGAGCAGCCCAAGCATCGCAACGTCAGGCAGCCCATTGCCATCTTTGGAGAGTCTGACTTCTCGGTCATTGAAGAAGAGGAGGAGCCTCAAAGCCCGACCGCCAAGCTCCCTCACTTCCCGTCGACGGCGACACACCACTCAAGTTCAAGCCGAAAGACCAGGCTCGCTAGAGGCGCTGCCAATCTGGAGGCTAAGCTTGCCACGCTCCAATCTGTTGTTGAAGAAAGGTCGCCTTCACCTCTGTCGTCCCCCATTCGACCCGGCTTCACCTTTGCGATGCCCTCATTTGCATCGACTCTCGAGGTCACCGAGACGGACCACGAGACAACTGAGGTTGAACACGAGGATGAGCCCGCTGCCGTCGAAGTCGCGAGTCCAATGGTGTTCTTTAAGAACCGCACCGAGACTTCGCCCTTCAAGAAGCGCAAGTCACTGCCCGCTGCACGTCGCCTTTCCTTTTCCGCCCCTCTCCGCCGAGCATCTCTCCCTGCTGCCGGCTCCGCCCAGCTTCCCGTGGTGCAGGATCTTCAAGATCCAGCATCCGGGTCGCTGGTGGGTGCTCCCGATTCGTCGGTTGAGCTCCACGCGGTGCAGAGTCCCCTCGAGGTTGATTCAGCATCTGCGGCGGCTGCCCAAGCTACTCCGGAGAGAACCCCGTCACCGTCTCCTTCGCCAGTCGTTGTCGATGCCAGAGAGAACCCGGACATCTTTGGCTCCTTCCAGGACCACTCTGGATCCCCGATCCAGGCGCTTGCATCTCTCGCTCGCGTGTTTGAGGAGGCCAAGAAAACGGATATGGATGGAAAGGTTGTTGTCAGCAGAGAGGGAGGCCGTCTGATTGTCCGATTTAAGGTTTCGGACGAACATGTTGCCCTCTTCGCCCAAGAGCAAGAACCCGTCGAAGAGCTTGTCGACGCGATTGACTCTGCCACCGAGCCGGCCATTGCTACCGCGTTGTCGCCTATTCGCCTGACCACTGAGGCAGAGGATGAGAAGAAGACAGCAGACGAAGCCAAGATCGAAGCGGAGGAAGAGGAGGTGGCGCATGTGCCCTCACAGACGCCCGCCCCGGTTGAGGAAGACGATGATTCTATGGTCTTACTTAGAGGGTTTTTGACCAGACACAACGCCAGGAAAGCTGCTATGGCTACTCTCCCCGCGCCCGTCGAGCCCGCCGAACCCGCGGTTCTTTCTCCCACTCCAGCGGTTGAACCTATTGCTGCACACTCTTCGCCCGACCCTCTTGCATCCGCTCCCATCCTCATGGCTGCAACTCCAGAGCGCAATCAAAGCATCTGGGCCGATACACCGGCGTTCTCCATCACGTCATCGGCAGATCGATCTCGTTCTGCGAGAAGGGCATCTCCAGCTGTGTCGACCGGACGCCAGCCTCTTGGATCTCTCGATGTTAACAGCCCGAGCCCCAAGAAAGCCAAGCGCAAGGCTGACGAGGTTGACGAACGAGAGGCCTCGCCAGAGAAGCCGCAGCCGAAGCGCCAGCGCAGAGCCAAGGCCGACATTCCAGACGCGAAGAAGGCCACAGGCAAGGCCAGCGACAAGTCCGCCGATGAGGATGAAGTTGCTCCCGTCACGAATGTGCGCACTAGACGTCAGCTTGCCGTCGCGCGTGGAGAGGCTCCGGCAGTTACCAAGATCCCGGTTAGAAACAAGGGAATGAGTAACATTAGAGCTGGAGAGAAGGACCTCGCGGCTTTGACTCGCCAGAATACCCGCAACAATAAGGGAGATGCGATTTCTGCTGAGGAAATGCTCGAGGCGATCAAGACCGCGCCGCCCAAGATAGAGACTCGGGCGGCCGCTGCTGCTGCCAAGAAGAACAATAAGAGTGTTCAGTGGGCAGCTCAGTTGGCTAGAAGCCAGTCCGAAGACCCGTCTACGGCTCCAATTGATTCTGACGAGGCAAGGTCCAGCTCAGCTGAGCTTAGTCCCGACGAGGAGAAGCAGGTCGGAAAGGCGAGAAAGGCCAGGACTTCTACGAGCAAGATCGCTACGACCAAGGCTTCAACCGCCAAAGCTTCGACCTCAAAGGCTGCGACTCCAAAGGCTGCGTCGACCAAGACCGCGCCTGCCAAAGCGACCGCAGCCAAGGCAACAAAGGCAAGCCAGTCCAAGTTGGCTACTGCCCCCAAGACGGAGGGCGCGAAGGTCGCGAAGACTGTGAAGAAGCCCACTGCCGCAGCGAAGAAGGAGCTGGGCCTGAGTGCCAACGGTACACCCGCCAAGCGCAGCGCTCGCACGGCAAAGAAGTGAAGATCTGTCGAGTGAAGATCATTGGCTTCGCTGTTTGAAGGAAGGAATCATGGACGGAGGAATTGCATGGAAGGGGAGGAACGAACAGCATTCGCATCGCATGGGGGACTTTAAAAGAAAAAGCATAGCTATGGGCGTTTGGGATTGTTTGATAGTTTTTGTTGGTTTTTTCTTGACCTTTATTTGCATCATGGCCGCCCGGCGAGGCGAGTGTTTCGATTCTTGTTCTACACCTGTTCTATACCCTATTGCTTCGTTGCGGACAGAGGCGGATGGGACTTTTATTATTATGAATGATGATGACGAACTTGAAATAACTTTCGGATCATTCGTGTTGTGTATTTATGTAATGCGCATTTGGGTGTTTACTGACACACCGCATGTCGCCTTGACTCCGAATGTGGTGTCTGCTCTGCGATACCGTCGACCGGGAACTCGGATCAGGGCCCAAAACGGGTCAAGACCCTTATTCACAGTACAGGGGAAAAAAGAGGGGTAACAACGCCGAACATGCATGGCAATGCCGGTCCCAAGTTCCATTGGACTGGATTCTACGCATTCTGCTGGAAACGCTGGGTGATCTCGGCGGATGTCCTGCAACTCGATGTGAGCGGTGGGAAAACGGGATGCGGACCAGCGAATCCCATCGGGAGGACGTTTGACTCTTCTGCATCCGGTGGCTTTGTCGGTCTATAAGACTGGCTGCGGTCCATTTGGGCCTGCCACGCTTGTCGTTTGGTCCAAGTACGGATAAGGTTCCCTACTGTAAGATGAACCCCTCAGCAAGCCACACACATTGGCAGAGACATGGAAGGGAAGGGGGACCTGGAAACGGGCAGATACAAAAACTGGAGCTCCCCTACCTTACCTTTCAGACGGAGGAAGCCCAGTCTGGTTGATCTTGCGCGTAGTCACGATTTACCTGCCTTGCTTAGAACAGCGATTTCGCAAAACACGGGAGACTACAGCAGCGGCGCGATTCATTAGTGTTAATCTCACGTTTTAACATAGCTACACTCATTTCTTACCCGTGAGACGAAAAAGGCGCACAGCATGGCTGAAGCACCAGGCACACCGCCTCCCACAACCGCACCCGCAGCCGGTGTCGCGTCCCCGGACCCGGCACCGACGACGAGTCCATCGCGAGTCATCCCGGCGGTGGCTATTGAACCAGCCCAGCAGGATGATCCCGTCGAAGCTGATGAGGGGTTTGCGGTGCGTCGCAGCTCAGTCTCCCTTCTTGTAGATTGAGCTGCGGTTTGCTAATTCTCCCGGTGTAGAGCGATAACGACTCTTCGATTGATGATAGAATGTAATGGCTTTCTGGGAATTCCACCACTCCATCTCACCCTTAAAATCTTTTTAACACAAACGAATGAGATAGCTCGAGTTACACCGCGTCCCTATCATCCAGCGTCATCGACTACCCGGAAGAATATGGCCGTCGCTATCATGCATTCAGACCGGGCTGTGAGTCTTCCTTTCTTGCAGCATTATGATGGATATGGAGGGAGACGGACAATATCCAGTCTGCTGACGGGTTTATGTAGCGTATTCTTTCCCGAACGACGAGGTCGAGATGGAGCGCCTCGACATGGCTCATGCCATGATGGTGAGGGCGATTGGAAGCAAGCTCTGGCTGGCGCCGCTGGCCAAGGAGAAGGTCCATCGTATCCTGGATATCGGCACGGGTACTGGAATCTGTACGTCTCCGCGCAAGTTTACGACCATGAAAGCCATGCGTTACTGATAACTTGCGGGGCCGTAGGGGCTGTTGAGATTGGTGACATTTTTGAGAATGCCGAGGTAAGTTTGTGATGAGTTTGATTGGTGATGGCATACTTTGCTAGAAGATGGGCAGGTTATTGGAAACGATCTGAGTGCTATCCAACCAGAGTGGTGCGTCAAGTCTCAACGTGATTCTCCCTCCGATGATTCCAATGCTCACGCTTCTTCTCTGGACTATAGGGTACCCCCGAACGTCAAATTTGAAATTGACGACGTCGAGAGCGAATGGGTCGGCGTCAAGAAGTACGACTTCATCATGTGCCGATACATGGCCGCCTCAATCCAGGACTGGCCGAAGCTGATTGCCAACATTTACGAGTACGTAACCCTCTCCTCTTTCACTCTGACCGAACTCATCCTCATTCTAATGACCCCCTCCACAGCAATCTCAACCCAGGAGGCTGGGCCGAGTTCCAAGACATGAGCACAGAATACTACTCCGACGACGGCAGCTACAAACCCGAACACGCAACCTACGAATGGAACCAGACCTTTGTCGAAACCCTCGACAAGATCGGGCGCGACCCCCGGCCCGGGCCGAAGCTCGAGGGGTGGGTGCGCGGGCACGGCGGGTTCGAGCACGTGGCGCACCACAAGTTCAAGACGCCCATCGGGCCGTGGGCGCGGCACCAGCATTTCAAGGACCAGGGTCTGCTGAACCTGGCGCAGATTCTCGAGGGGCTGGAAGGGTTTTCGTTGAAGTTGCTTTGTGGCGTTTTGGGGAGGAGTAAGGAGGAGGTGTTGGTGCAGCTTGCGGAGGTGAGGAGGGAGTTGAAGACGGGGGTGTTTCATGCTTTGTTGGATTTGTGAGTTGTTATCCTTTCCTTGTTTTCCCTTTCGTTGTTCGATGTGGACGGGGAGTCGAAGATTGTTTGTGGCTAACAAGTTTTGTGCGCGTAGGCATGTGGTGTATGGGCAGAAGCCTGCTCTACCGGCTGCTACGGAGGCGACTTAGTGAGTGTGGAAGTGTCGTCTGAGAGGTTGGGATGTATAGCATCTCTATGTATGGCGTGCAGGCCTGCGAAGTAGACTCTGTTCTTCATGGCTCCTGGTATAGCGACGTAGCATTTTGATGCAAAGGCTTGAATCCTACGCAGATGACGTTGTGTTTGACCTGACTGGCTTCAGCGTGTATTGACTATGCAGGAGCTGGTCCAAGACTAATCTCTCAACCGCTCATCTCATTTCATATCTCAAGAAGCTTACTCTCATTTGAGTTCCTCACAAGTGATCATCGGCTGGGCGAATGAGTGAGCGACTGAGCGCACAGTCTTCAGCCCTATGAGATGAACGGGTGGTCCCGAGTGCCAAGTTCGGACGACGCAATGGAAGCGAGTAAACGTGGAGACCCGAACATGGAATCAAAACATCAGGATGGAACCTGAAAAGAACCTGGAAGCAACCAGAAAAAAGCCCAGAAAAATACCCGCCATCTGCGTTCCGATCTGCCGAAACAAACGGGCAGGAAGCCAATCTGACGTGCAGTCGCACCTGCAGCCCAAGCAATCCCATTACGAATCGCCCGTCACACGGCGCGCACCTTCTTTCCCTTAGGCGCAATTCGATCCCGTCGGGAGGCCCCCTTATTTTCTTACCTCAGCCATTTTCTTTTTTTCTTTTTCTTTTTTTTGCCCCCTACGGCCCAACTCACCTTACCTTACCTTCCTGACCTTGGTCACTTGACCCCGCGACGACACGTCAAGTCCCCCGCCAACCACGTGCGATTCTCTCTCATCCTTCCAACTCCCAACTGTCACTACCGAAAGAAAGAGAAGAAACACAACAGCCTGGAGTGAACAAAAATGTCGCTCTTTGGCAACTTTGACGTCGCGAAGCTGGCATCACAGCTGGGCAACTTCAAGATCCCCGACGACCCAGAGATCATCAACCAAGGTGAGTGAGCGAAATGAGATACTTTGCGACAATCCTCCAACCTCAATCTGCTCTCTGCCCCTCATAAAATCGCAAAACTCCCCACCTTACCTTATCTACAAAAGCACCTCAACAACAAATCCTGACCACACATCACAGGCCACCAGGACTACGGGTACAGCAACTACGGTTCCCACAGCCAAGGCTACGATGGCAGACCACCCGCGGGATATGCCGGTGGTCCGCAGAATGGCGCCGAGGAGTACAAGCGCGAGCACCCCGCCGCCTTCGGCTCCAGTGACCCCACGCGCTCCGCCTACTCCGACCCCGTCTCCGAGGGAAGTGCCATGTCGTCCGTCGCCGCTGGCGTAGCTGCCAGCGCCGCCGCGGGTGCTTACGGTACCGCACCGCAGTATCCCACCCCGCATCCCGGTAGGTATGGTGATTCCACTTCATCTAGCCCGTATCCTCAGCAGCAGCAACAACAGCAAAGCTATGGACGGCCTCCTTCGCCGGGCTATGGAAGGCCCCCTTCACCTAGCTACGGAAGACCGCTTTCGCCGCGACTGCCAGAGGGATGGGTCAAGCGGTTTGACGACAATAGCAGACGATGGTACTACGTCAATCAAGCAACTGGCTCTTCTCAGTGGGAGGCTCCTCCGCCACCGTCGGCCATGTCTCCCCCGCCAATGTCGCCACCAGGCCATGGAGGGTATGGGGAATCATCTCGATATGGAGGACACTCGCCACAGCCGGGATACTCGCCTCAACCTGGCTATGGGGGACATTCACCACAGCCCGGATACGGCGGCCCGCCGCCTCAACCGGGATATGGCGGACCCTCTCCACAACCTGGGTACGGAGGTCACTCTCCACAGCCCGGATACGGAGTTTATGCGGGCAGTGCCGCTGCGGCAGCTGCGGGAGCCGGAGCTGGGTACTATGCAGGACAGCAATACGGACAGAGCCAGCCCCATGGGGGGTACGAGCAGCCTCAACAGTACGGCCAACAGCCACCACAGCAATACGGCCAGCCCTACGGACAGCAGTCTCAACAGCAGTATGGACAGCAGTATGAACAGGGATACGGCAGCGAAGAGAAGAAGAAAAAGAAGAAGAGCGGGAACAGCAACATGTTCCTCGGCGTTGCTGGTGGCCTCGCGGTGGGTGCGCTGGGAGGCGCGCTTATCGCCAATGTTTTGGGTAATGATCAATCACCTCTCCTGGGCCACGGTCGGGACGATTATTAAACGCGAAAACTGACAATTTCAGCAGACTCCGATTCAGACTCTGATCATCACGAGCACCACTACGAGCGTCGTTCTTCGTCTGGGTCCTCGGACCATTATCGCGGTCGTGATGATAGCGATCGGGGGTCTGATAGGGGGGATTATGAGGAGGGCGGCGACTACTATGATGATTAGGTTGATCAAGTACCTCCGTCCGGGCCTCAACCGTCCCTGGAGGAAGACGATGAGCAAGAGGTTCAAGAGCAGACTTACAGGGGTCCAGAGGAGTATCGGGACGATGGCGACGTCGATCATCTCGTGCACACCACCGGGTATGGCGAGGTTGTTTATGATGATATGCAGAGCGCTGAAGATGCCGGCATCGACGTCGACCGTGGTATAATGCACACCACCGGCTATGGCGAGGTTGTCTATGATGATGAGCCGGGCGCTGACGAGGTTCGGAACGACGACAGCTATGCTGGTAACACTTTTGACGACGGATATGGTGATGGTGGCATTTACGACGATGATTATGGCGGCGATGACTATGGCGACGACTATTATGATGATTAGGTTGGTCGAGGATGGATCTTGACTGAGAGCTGCCTTCCATCTAGAAGAATCCTGAGACGTTTGCTACTGAGCATAAATTTTACATTCTTGACTTCAACAGATAGTATGAGAAAAAGTTCCTCCATCTCGCTATGTATGTACATCTCGACCCTGAACAGTGCTAAACTCCATATCAAAATGGGCTTGGTCGGGTGCTATCAGCCAGTCTTCTCTTCCGTGAAAGCCAAGAGATGGCAGAGAGCAACTGACAGCTTGGCAACCTCTTTTCCAGAATTGGAGCATGCCCGGCGGATCAGTCAGTCCTGGGTCCTGGCGCACTCATTTCGTTGCCGTCCTGACTGGGATGTGAATGGCGCACGTTCTCCAAGACGGTCTGCCCTGCCACATCTCGCAAGCATCACGGACCATAGAGCAGCCCTTTACTCAGTAGCGTCGCGAGGCGTAGGTAGTGAGAAAGAGTATCGGCAACCAGTCCCCGACGGAAATATAAGTTCACTGAGGGATGAATCCGAGCCATTAAGTGAGAGTATTTGTACGTCGGAAGGCTCCGTAAATCAGGGCAATGCTCGCAGAGTATCACTCTCGGCGCCGTTGAACCCAAACCGCCGGCAGTTGTAACCTCTGGGGGTGAGCCCTGAAGCCGTGCATCCCGCGGGATCGGACGGCACTGCTTACAGGGCTGTATTGCCTATGCTTATTGTGTAATTGGTATTCGCCCCGTCCGATAACTGTTGCTGGGATGAACTTATCAATTAGAGTTTGAATAACACGTTGAACCGTGAATGTGCCCCCTCCAAGCCTCGCTGCGCGCGACTCAGTACAGAGTTTCCCGTTGTAGCTGGTTTCGGGTACGCGGCTTGTCCGCCGTTGAAGATCGTCACTACGGAGTACTCCGTAATCAGTCTTGATACTTATAGCTGGTCCGAAATCTCTCTGTGGCGCACCTGGTTATTGGAGTATTCCTCAACTGTTGTCAGTCTCTACCTTGCAATCTATATCCTGTCGCAAATACCCTTCCCGCGATTCTTGTACATAATTACCCAAACGGAAACATGAAGTTCCAAGCCGTTCTTTTCGTCAGCTTCCTTCCCTCAGTACTGGGATGGTGGGTATGTTTCAACGTCGAGGGAGTCTGATGACGCACTGTAGCTGACGGATGGGTGTAGAACTGCAGACTTCCTAAGGGTGGTGACCTCGGTACATGCCTTTGGGATGGCGACCTGAAGACGGAGTTGACTTGTGGCCAGGTACAGTTCACTCTATTACTTTTGGACATGATTCTCGCCATCTTTGTCTGGTTTCAATGGGTTGAGTTGCTAACTTTGTGTGATAGGGCCACCCGTGCAAGACACTCGGCAACGGATGTATTCCTATCGGATCGGGAATTGCGAACTGCTCGTAGACAAACAGAGGGTGTGTACTTTTGGGTATGGAACTACCTTAGGTTCAAGAGTTGTTCGAGGTGTTGCTGGGTTCTGGTTTTAGATTAATACGATGATATTGTGGAAAGATTCACTTCCGAGTTCTCACTTGGGCCTCGGCTATGACCATGACTTCATTGATACTTGATCAACAATCCAAATATATGTGCAGACAACAACAAACATGTATATTGCCAGAGTTTTCCAACTCATCTCCAATATCTACGGTATCGGTACACTTCCAAGATCAACCCAGTCATCCCCGCTCAGCATGGCTTCTCTCACCAAACCACCTCTCTGGAAGTAACATCTCGTCTCGCTCAACGCTTGCCCAAGAAGGACCTGGCTTCCATTGGAATCGAAACACGTCGTGGCCATTGTCAGGCACGCAATGTCTGAATCGGAATCGACGGCTTTTAGTGCAGCCGGCTGGGTCAGTTGCCAGCCTGACGCACTGTTGCGAAGAACATTGATGTCGAATGACGCATCGATGAAGAGGATGTAAATGTTCACTCGTTGCAACGCATCGGATTCTCGAGCTATTGAGAAGGCGGCGAACGAACCCCCCTTTGAGATCGTGGGGACTGTGAAACCTACACAAAGATAATAAAACCAGATGTGGTTAGCTTTGTTGTATAGTTGCAAGACTCCTCAGCACCCAGCCGAGACAACAAAAGTCGCAAAACATGTTAATCTGTGACTTGCCTGAAGGCCAAGCGAGAGCATAATTAGCAGCAAGCTCGCTCGAACTGTTGCCGGGAGTGGCAATCGCGAGGCTATTGTTCGAGGCTTGATAAATGATCCCATACGCTCCATGAGCGGCGATCGCACTGAAATTCGAAGACAGCGGAAACAGGGCAAGTTGACTTGTCTCCGCCGCTATAATGCCGAGCTTTCTCACATCCCACGCACTGGCTGGGAAAAAGCCGTCTCCTATCAGGCTGTTCCGAACCTCGAACAAACTTTGATCAGGCCCCTGGTAAGTGATCCAAGGCCAGTATGCGGCCACGCTGCTATTGCTGCCGGTAGAAAGCATCGAGCCTTTGATACTGTCTTCCTCGTAACCGGAGCTAATCGCGTTGTTGATACTCAACCCGAGAAGGCGATTATCGTCATTCGTATAAAACATCTCAACTTGAGGCTAAGAAGAAGCGACACGTTGTTAGTGACAAAAACAGGAAGCGAGTCGCTCGCGGGCCTCGGAGAATTCGATAACCAACGTACCACCGCGCCAGTACCGAACTGGATGATCGTCCCAGCGAGTCGACTTTTACTCGTAGCAAACGAGTTGTATCTCACGGGTGCATGCCAAGAAGTGTTCCCCAGCGTTGACGACGTCGGAACTTCTTCGTATTTCGAGCATCGTACATAGTTGTTGACGTCCTGGTAGAAGAGGAAAATCTCTACCCCGCTGCTTTTCCGCCACCCTGTTACACTTAGTGAAGAGCCCTGCCGTATTGTCTGTGAAGTTGCAATTGGGGAAGGCGAAGGCGAAGCCGAAGCCCCTGTTTGATCCGCTGATGAGGTTTTTGCTGCTCTGCTGCCGAAAACTCCTCCCAGGACGGCGGATAGGATGACAATGAGAAGTGTTACGCCACCCGCTGTAAGCCAAAGACGTCTCCTGCTTCGTTTTGGTTTTGCATCTGGAGGATCCTCGACGTTCGCGATTTGGGTGTATTTCGTCGTCGGGATTGCTTCTTTTCCAGTTTCGTCAAAGGATTGATAGTATGGGTTTCCAGCGACATGGGCATCTGAGTAATTAGTAATGTGTCTTGGCTGCCCGTCCGGTACCAACTCCAGTCCAGGTTGTTCATTGATATCGTTCATACGATCTTGGTCAGTATGTTGATGCTTTTGAGTTATGAGTTAGAAGAAGCCCCCGCTAATACTATTTCGCCTGGGAGAACTCACTGCGGCTGGAAGCATAGTGATATTGTTGACGTCAGAACCGCCACCGGCCGCTGATAATTACAGAAGAGTTTTCAAATAGCAGAAGAAGTCACGATGAAAAGACAAAGGTTGTTATGCACCATATGAAATGGAATCTGTCCGGGTTCCATTACAAAAGCTTACCAGTCTAGGTAGCGGTCAATGACAATCAACTGAAGGCTACAGTGATAAGCACTAGCAGAGCCTAATAAGTGGATGCACTTAGCTATTAGGATATGTTAATCAGGCACAGGAATGTATTTACGTTGTATTCGGGGTTGAGCGAATGATTCGGGGCAGGCATCATGGTTGAATTTGAGTGGGATGCCGGTATGAATGATTTAGATGCCTCATATTTCAAACTCGGGCGGAAGCTCGCGTCAGGCAGAGACATCCATAAGAGCGATGTTAGTGAGTATCTTTGTAGGAACAACCGACAACGTACTTTCAATTCGCGTCGCGCTCAAGGCCGAAGGATCGGGATGCCTGAAAAGCCACTTATACAGGTTCTCACTTTTTCCAAATAGGGACAGTGAAACCTCCTCTGGACTGACTGAAGAGAAGTACGAGTCAGTGTAATGGATACCAAAGGATTATATACCCAGAGTACTCCGTACATGGGACTTGATTTCGCGTAGCCCGTAGAAGCTGCGGGACCGAACAGTATGTCCATGTCGAAATCTCCGCGCGGAGGACCCTCCGGGCGGGATCGCCAAAAGTTCTCGATATTCCCAGTTCCTTTCTACTTCATATGAACCTCCCCGAAGAATTACCATTAAGTGAAATCGGTAAAGCTGAACTATTAAGACTTTCAAGTGAGAATGTTTGCAGGAGTTTGAGTGATAGATTCCGGGTGGAATCAAAACATTGACAGTTCTTGAAGCTTTCTCTATCTCAAAGCGTACTAAATGATAACAATTTCGAGAGGATTCTGCGGTCTCAAGGCGCTGAATTAAAGAAGCAATCAATTAGCAAAGGTAATTCCAGCCTTAAGAAGTGTCGAAACGTAGCCTCCTCTGGAGCCGGCCAGCCAGCCAGATGATACATTACGAGTGAATGGGTCATGTTTAGCCAAGGCCGTAATCGGAAACATGAGCACAGAGTGACCCAGATAAACCACATGAGATCTCCCAGGTTCACAATGGGCAGCTGGAAGCTGACCATACTTATGCTACGCTGCAGCAGCCACCATTGATAGGTCGAATGCCGAGAAATCGGGAGTAGCAGAGGGTGTGCTCGCAATCGGCAAAGAAATGGCGAAACGATGGGAGCTTTTCAGTGGATCAAACGGCATCCTTGCTTACCACTCTCACGAGGACTTGCGTGCTACATGTTTGATTGAACACTATGAAGTCATGATATACTATTGCTGGGAGCAACTACGACTCGCTTTCAAAGTCTATTAACGGTGAATGCGACCCCGCGACGACGAGATTATAGATTATTCTGAATACAACTTTGATCGGCGTTTTCAGAGAGAGACTAGTAGCTTGTCTATAGGGCTCTCTCGAGGGCCATAGAGTTCAGGATGGGTATTGACGAACCCCTAGTACCTAAGCTGTAACTGGTTCATCATGCACTGATCATGCTGCTTCCCCTACATAGTGTTGGGGAAGGTACTTTCCGAGACCGAGTTTGCAGCCACGTTGACAAGCTCACAAGGCGGTTTGTCAGATTCCCCCAGTCATTTTAAATCAACAGCTA